TGTCTTTCTAAGTATTGTAGAATCAGCCTTGTGCATGAGGTTAGTTTGTTAATCTGGTAAAGTGGGTCTGTAGTGTGAAGCGTGTTCATGCAAGGGTAAACAGTGCGTAGCTGTGAAGTGACAAATCTAATCCTGGAGGATTTACAGACCTGTTACAGTACCAGCTCTGTGATGTTCAATACTCTGGCAACACTAATACATTGTATTAGTACTCTAACAACTAATACATTGGAAATATAGTTTGAAAACTAGTTCACTGTGTACACCTGAAATACCTTCTGTGCTGTCTTCAACTGAAATGCAGATGTGTCACACACAAACTTCTTGGTATGCTCAGAGCCTAATTTATCTCTTGTATTACTTCTCTTCTGCTTTATGCTTGAGCCTTGATGTACAGAAGGCACAAGAGAGATCAGAATCTGGACTAGCTATTAAAAATTCTTGCACTCAAATTTTTAGTTATTTCTTTTCTACTGAGGGCTTTATCTGTTTCCCCTCAAGTTAAATAAAATTTTTAGCACTTTTCCCTTGCTTCAACATTAAAACATGCATTGGAAATGAATCCACCCGTCCTGATGGATTGCATTAATCCTCAACCCATTTACCTCAGGAAGATGTTCATTTTACTCACTTCTCTCTTCCAAACCATACATGCTGTGTTCCTGTATCTTCTGCAGGATGTTCTTTCTCTGTGTGATGCAGACTGACTTCTCTGCCCCTTTGTGGCAGTGAGCATGTTCTTTGACAAGACCTTTGACATTCCTGCATTGTTCTTCATGTCTTCTGAATCCCACTTTTAGAACAGCCACAGGGCAGCCTGCAGACTCAAATAATGTTCGGTTTTAAATCTTTTTGAGCCATGAAAAGCCTTTGGTACACCTGGAGAATAATAACTTTTTTTGAGTGCCTTGGGAGGAAGTCTTTAATCTGCACGTTTTATCAGGTGAGCAAGATTTTTCTGAGGATGTCAAGTGGGGCAAGAATAGAAACCCATTTCAATAGGCTTATATCCTAAGTACTCAGCTCAGTAGCTTAAGAGTTGGGGGAGAGATTAAGTCACGTTTAACTCTTTGTTATTTTCTGCTTCTTTCCCCTACACCTACCTAGTATCTAGCCACAGTCAGGACATAGGACTTTTAAAAAGATGTTATTTTTCTCCATTTGTGATCATTAGGCCTGAAGGATGGAGAGATGTCAACCAAAAGCATCTGAATTAACCTCTTCTTGGTGGGTTTTAGAATATAAATTTGACTTTAACTTGAACACTGAGAGAATTTCTCTTTTCTGGTATTATAAAAAACAGGAATTTTCTGTACTAAAATGAAAACAAATCCACATGCAAATCTGGCTTGTGCAGAATTCTAGTTCTCAACTATGAAGTTGATATATTGGCATTTTTGGTTTGCTGCAGAAGTTACCTTAACTCTGTCTCCTTATAGTTAAGGACCTTAGGGCTCAATTGCCTCTTCCCTTGTGAGGTGCATTCCCCATTTTGCAAGTGGAGATCTGATAATCTGTAGCAGGGAAACTATCCAAAGACATTTGCGCCTTTATTTAAGACATTCAGGGAAGTGTAGGGCAGAGCATGTAATTAAGCTTACATTTCTCTGATCCAGCCATGCTGGGGCTGGCTTCCCTTGAAAAGGGAATTAGGATCTTTAGAACAGTATTTCGGGAGTTCTTGCCTGTAGCTTCACGCTTTTCAGTTGTGTAGATGTACGTGTCATAGCTTTTTATAGGAGTGATTGGCTTGGAGGTATCTCACCAATTTATTCTTGAAAGACATGTGAGGAGAATGGAAGGCTGTTGCTGAAGCATTTGAGTAAGTAGAAGAAAGCAGTAAGGGTATATACAGGTGTGTTGCTGTCCTTTACCCACAGCCCAGATTCACTTTGGTTTTCATTTCTGAATAAATCTGAGGCTGGTCCTCTATAAGATAGCTGTACAGTGAAATAAACAACTTGTGCTTGAGAATCAGTCATCTCTAGAATTATCTGCTACAAAGCTTTTGCAAACTGTGAAAGGAAGTGGGAAGTACTTAATGAGTACGTTTTAAATGGACACTTGTGCGTAGTTCATCAAGCTAGAAGCATGTTGTGTTTCTTGTGCAGATGACAGATGGCAAGAGCAATTGTATATTGTACTTAGTGTAGATTAAGAGGTTGTGATAACATAAATGACAGATTTCTGTATTTGGGGTTTATTGGATGCACTTCAAAGAGAATGAGATAGTAACTTAGTGCTTTTTAAAAATTAATACTTACCTGCTTTTATCTCTGCCACTTTTTATGCGCTCTGTTCCATGTTTCTGTGAACAGCGTTTGTTCTGCACAGTGTAGCTGGCTGACTTGTTTCATAGGAAAACATCTTCTGTGGGGTTGTCTCATTTTGCAAAGGCACTGCCACACAGATTGTGAGATGAAAACATGCTGCTAACTAAGGAAAAAAAAAAAGTACTTTTTTTTTAACCTTCTTATTTTTCTACGGCTGTAACGTGTCACCTAAATCCCTTGACTGGATAGGGCAGAACCACAGCTTTAGGATTAGTGCATACGGGGGATTTAGGATTTCAAGCAAACATGTTGCTGTGTTTTCAGCGTATCTAGTTTTTCCTGCCTGAAGAGAAATATTCCCACTAAAATATTGAGGAGAACCTTCTAAGAAAAGATGAAGATTTCTACAATGATATTTTGAAGAGCTGTGTGAGAAGAAAAAGGGGTCATTCCTTTCTTTTTTCCCCCGAAATGGAAGGAGACTGAAGAGCTTAACACCTTGCCAGATTCACAGTGAAAGGCAAGGGTGACTTGGGGGGATGGATTGTGCTACTGACATTGCTCTTATTTACTGCAACGGGTATTGCTGTTTGTTGTTGAAGAGCAAGTAAAGCCATCAGCAGGAGCGCTTGCAAATCTGCGTGCCATCAAATGTGCAAAAGAGGTCCTGCTACGTAACTCTCGCTGTCAGAAGAAAGCAGCATGGAGAAAGCCAACAGCTGTGAGCTGGTGTATTGTCTTGGGTGCTCTGCAGCTGGGAATGTAGCACCGGAAAAGAACGTTGTCAGAAGATCCTTCTGTCCATAAATGGAGTCGCCTTCATGCCATTTTGCCTCAGTTTCTTTCATTTGTCTGTTTTAAAATGCTGAACTGAAACATATCTGTCCTCCAAACCAGACACATAGAAACATCGTACAGAATGAGAAGGATTTTGCTGCTATTTGAGTAGTTTAAATCAGCACAGGAGGAGGCCTGAATTTACTGTTAAACTGCTCTTTCTGTAACAACCCGAAGAATACTGCTGGACTTTGGAGATCATCAATTACCTTGAAGTGTTTTTCTTAATAATATTTCTATAACTTACATCAAAAGTTTGCAACTACAAATTTTAATCTCTGCTAAGGCCTGCAGTGTTTGCGTTTTGATTGGAAGCTGCCCTTTGTCTCGGCCATGGATGCCACAGGAAGCCCTTTGCTTCAAAATAAGTTTTCAGTTGCCCGCCTGGCTGAAGAATTTTTCTGGGTTGGTGGCAGCATCGTAGCTTCTCCACGGTGGAAAATTGGCCGTTTTGGTAAGATATGGACTGCATGCCTGCCGCTCCATTGCTGAAGGCAGGGTCATTGAGCTTTTATATTTAAGTCTTGTTTAGCGACAACTTTTCTAGCAGTGGTGTGGTCAGACACAGCCCTGGTCCTGTGTTATTTTGCAGTTACTTTGATCTGTTGCCAGGACGCTTTTTAGACTTCAAGAACCTTGCAGTTATATTTTCATTATTAATCTCTTCTCATTCCCCTCAAAGTGCAAATGTAATGCTGTTCACTTTGTCATGTGTGAACTTTTGAAATGTTGTCCTCCATGCCTGCAGAATGGTAGGTTTGCTCTCTGCTCTTGGTTGCCAAAATTCTGAATTTTTTGTGCAATATTTGTTTGGTTTTCAGTCTTCAAAATAAATATTTAGAACAGTCCTGTTGTCTTATTCCAGAGTAGGCCACTGGACTCTAGGAAGGCTATTTTATTTATTCAGGTATGCAGTGACAAAATTCTTAAGCTTCCACAGTAGTTTGAGAAAGATCCCTTGTACTGGATATGTAGAGATATATGTATGCATTATGTATTATTTATATGCTGATTTTAAGATTTGATGTCTCTTGTCTGAACTGGAACTGATATTCTTGACAGGAGAAGATGGAGATTGGGTTTATCTATCAAAGAGCCAGCTGTAGCTGTAGTGTCATTTCTGGAGAGTTATTATTAAGTGAAACAGTCGTTCTCTCTCTATGGATTTGCAGTGCTGAACCTTTGGTGGGTGTGGGAGTCTTCTGTTGGCACTTGGGGATGCTGCTTTGGTTCAGTGAGATTTTAAGGGAACAGCTTGCTCTTACAGCGTACCTGTACTGAAGGGTTTCTGTAGGCCCAGAAACATGTTGCATGTTCCAAGGCCCTGAAGACAGGACTCTGAAATCTATTTGCCTTTCCGTTCAGTGTTTGGAAAAGCAGTTGTTCTGAAGCATATGACCAGGATGCATCCTGCCCAGATCAGGTAACGGTGCAGACCTTGGCAGTGGTGTGATGCTGCCTGTAGAATGTCTATAAACAGATGGGCTTAAGTCAGAGCCGTGTGATGTCACCCAGAACCATTCTGGACTTCAGTCATTGATCTTCAGACAAAGCTCCTCCACGTATAAAAATACTCAAATGACTCAATTCCTCCAACTTCCTTTCACCCTCACATGCTAAAATACTCCCACTCCTCCACAAACACATACCAACCAGTAGAAGTCCAAAAAGATAGTAGTGCTATTGAACCATAAATAATGAACAGAGATTAGAGCATCTTTGTAACAAAAAGCATGAAACAGGGCTTGTTTTTCCTGTAGTGATTTATATTCTATGTTTTTGTTATTTATTGTTACAACTGTATGTTGTTCGTATGTTTTCTTCTTGTGAAGGTGACTTTTAAAGGAAACAAAGTCTGACATACTGATATTACTTCATTTCTCTCTTCAGTGGAAAGATGTATGAGCTCCATGCAGGCCGGTACCCAAATGATCAAACTCCGTGGTGGTTCCAAAGGGTTGGTCCGCTTCTATTACCTGGATGAGCACAAGTCATGCATTCGCTGGAGACCCTCCCGAAAGAATGAGAGAGCCAAAAGTGAGTGTCAACCACAGAACCACTTATTCTGATTCCTTCCAGGTAGAATCTTGCCCCCTTGTGAATAAACCCAAACCGGCATGAAGGATTTGATTCATTCACAGGTGATCAAGCAAAATTCTGTATGTGGATTTTAAAGGGCATTAAGTTATTTTATAATGATTAACGGTTTATGAAGATTAAATTGCTGTTGTTAAGTATGCAGATAACAGTAGTTAACTATGTTGGAAGTCAATTGCAGGGAAAACCTGTGTGAACCGGGGGCCTTGCATTATTGAGGTTTCATTCCTTTCTCCAGAGGATTTATCTACGGGATTATTACCTTTTACCTTTTCATTCCTGTAGCCTGAGTAATTGCTTACTATATGGCTGAAAAGTACTTTACAGTGAAATGTTAGTGTTTTTTGTTGTTTTTTTTTTTTAAACTGTCAGAAACATATGTATATGCGTGCTGTAGCTGAGCATCAGTCAGTTTCAACATGCTATGTAGATGCCATGCTAGGAAAGGTTACTCCATTTTGCTCTTCTGAGCTCTTACAGTTTTGTGCGGGAGAGAACAATTCTATTGATCATTTCTACAGTCAGACATAAAGGATGTTCCCATGGATACTTGTTGCTGTAGCTATAGAGAAAATCAGGGATGCACAGGTGATGTAAGTGCTGGTATTGAGTTAGAGCTCCCTGCAGACAGCAGTTACAGTAAGCCAGGTAAGTTACCCTACAGCCGAGGCACACATGTAGTATAAAAGGCCAGGAGAACAAGCTGTACGTGCTGCTGAGCACAGCACAACCTCAGTGTAACTGTTATGTGTAGCTCTGGCTCCTTAATGTGCAATGGTCTCTGACTAGATCACAGCACTGGTTTTGGAGATGTGTACTTCAGATAAGCTGAAGTATAGGAAGAGAAACCAGGGCAAAATCATAAAGAATCAGGCTGAGCCTAGGCTTCAGTGTTCAAGGTATTTGCCTCAAAGCAAACTGGGAAGGGGACTTGTTTCCTTCAGAGGAGCTTCCTAGCAACTTACAGTCACTTGCCTTCAGCACAGTGAAACTTAATTAATTATCCAGTTTATGTTTTTGTCCTTAATAACTTTTCCCTTTTAAACTTTAGCAGTTTGTCTGTGTATAACATACTGTCCAGCTGCACGGTAGCCATACCACAGCAAACAGATGTCTGTTTGTTGTAATCTCCAGAGAACAATTACAACAAAGCAAAACTAAAATTTGTCCTTTTTTCCCCCCTTACTATTATTATTAGAATTTATCTTCTATCAGCTTGGGAACAGGAACATTACAAGGGAAATAAATTGTTCATGTAATTATAAGGTGCACAGACTGTGAGTATTTAGCATCTGCGCATCTCCACATCAAACTAAAAAGCAGAAAAATTGGAATTTACTGAAAAGATGAATCTTTTTTTTTCTGGCCAACTGCAGACATTTTCATTGCTTCACCTCTCTTTCAAAGAGGTAGAAATTTTGATTTCATAAAATTGCATGGAATTGACTTTTCATCTGCTTTGTCCTTTTATCTGAAGAGGAAGGAATGTGAGTAGAAGATAAACACAACCTGTCTGGGCTAGGCCTTCTCTGCCCTTTGCATGAATTAGAACAGGAATTGTATTCACAGCGTAATAGATTTGAAGGTGTCCCAGACCACCGGTTTTTCTAGGACTACTCTCCGTGTCAGGATGAAGCCTTTGCAACAGTCTGCTGGCTGTATCTATTTCACTGTCTTGGTGTTACTTTTCCCTAATTCTACGTTTGTTCATAATGAGTAAGATTTGTAAAACCGTGATTCAGCTTTTTTATTTCAGTACGCAATCCTCAAATCAGTCGCGCTCTTGGAAGAGAACGGTAGTCTCCCTTAAGAATCTTAAGGCAGCATACAAGGGAGTGGAAGCTAGAAGTATTATCCTGTTCTGTTAATATGCAGATTGTTTCACGTCTCTGTGTTCCCATACTCCAGTAATTTCTGCAGTTTAGGTTAATTTTGTTACAGCTGCTTTTTCTTTTTGATCCAATTGGAAGATCGTTTATTACGTTCTTGGACAAGCAGCAGTGTGATTCATCAGTGTAATTAAAGGAGAGAACTTAAATCAAGACAAAAAGGGATTCCTTTTTAGGGCAATCTTACTGTTTGCCAGCCTGCATGATTATTTTCCCACACAGTTACTAATGAGCTGCATGCTCTTGTTTTTCTAGTTTCCATCGACTCTATTCAAGAAGTTTGTGAGGGGAAGCAATCGGAGATCTTTCAGCGCTATGCTGATGGCAGTTTTGATCCTAACTGCTGCTTCAGCATCTACTATGGAGATCATATGGAATCCCTTGACCTGGTGTCTTCCAGTGGAGATGAAGCACGTACTTGGATCACAGGGCTAAAATACCTGATGGCAGGGATCAGTGATGAAGACAGCCTCTCAAAACGCCAAAGAACCAGAGACCAATATCCTTCCTAAACTGGTTGAGAGAGCATTTTCCAGTGGTTGGAGCACTTAACAGCACAATAATTCCTTTAAGTATTTGTTTTACTAAAAGCAAGCGTTAGGCTCAAAGTTTCAAAGTGATTCCCTCAAAGTTTCAAAGTGATTCCCATTCCATTCCCTGTTTCCAGAGACTGAGAGAGAAGTCCTTGAAGAAAATTGGACTGGGCAAGAGAGCGGACTGAAAAAGGTGATTGGGCAAGAATGGACTGAACATACAGGTATATTCCTTCGTCTGTTACTCCCTGTGTAAAGCTGTCCTTTTCATTTGATTGTACAAGACAAAACATGATGCATCATTTCTGTTTGCTCAGAATTCAATTCAGAGTTTGGGTAAAATAGCCAGTGTTGAATACTGAGCATAACAAATCTAGGAACTTCTTCATGAAATAAGACAAGCAGTTATGTTGTATATTATCTTGAGCTTTCCTTTATTCCTCGCCCCATATGTACAGTTTTCCCTAAGCATTTTATATATATTATGTTCAGCAACATCCCTTGATATTCCATGATGTTCCTTAACTCCTGTTCAATGTGGTTGAAGCAGACGTTTGATGAAGCAGATAAAAATGGTGATGGCTGTCTGAGTATTAATGAAGTGCTCCAACTAATGCACAAACTGAATGTCAACCTACCCCGACAAAAAGTCAAGCAAATGTTCAAGGTAAGAAATGAAAATGAAATTTGTCTAAAAGATCAATGATTCAGCAACTGATTTGTTTTCTCTCCATTGAGAGATATTGCACTGTGTATTTGGTAAATTGAAGAATGCTCCAGAAATAAGTAATAAATAAGTTGTTTTTTACAGAAAGAATGATTACACCAGGTACTGTCTAGTGTTGATACCACATTGTGAAGTTGCTTTTTTGCTACACCTGTTGATCTGAAGTTCAGTATCCCTGTGTTCTTGTGCAATAAGAAGGACCTTCAGAAGTTGTCTTAGCTTGTGCACTAATCCATACATATAAAAGGTTCAAAGGGGAAAGCATTAATCTGACAAATATTAGTCTAATTGACCAATCTGCTCTAGCAGGCCCTACAGTGAGCAGCCTTGTCAGGCAGCATCAGCATGTGTTTAATTTCAGTGACACGTTATTCAGGCCTTTGTTTATTTAAAATTTGTTCAGGCTCTTACAAGACAGTTTGCTATTTCATTGCCTTATTGCTGTGTAATGCAGGAGGCTGATACAGATGATAACCAGGGCACGCTAGGCTTTGATGAGTTCTGCACCTTCTACAAGATGATGTCAACACGACGTGATTTGTACTTGCTAATGCTCACCTACAGCAACCACAAGGACTTCCTGGATACAGATGACCTGAGACGCTTTCTGGAGAATGAACAAAAGGTAGATCTAAACCAGGAAAAGAATTCTGCTCTTGTGCCGTTCCATTTGCCGCTGGGGATGCACTGTCTTTTTTAAAGGGTCAGAATGGCAGTCATGCGTGTGAAAAGTGAGCAGCTGCTTTTGTTTTAGCAGCTTCACTCTGGAGAGTGTGGATGTTAAAAATAGACAGATGCTTCTTGATTTTCATCTGGTATGCTGGCAAGACTATTTCTTGAATCTTTTTACCCTCACAACCTCTTCTTTGAATAGGGTCTTTCATTGTGCCCCCAACTGTAGTGTCTATGGTTTCTTTTTTTTTTCTTTTCTTTTTTTTTCTTCCCTTGTGTTCTTTGGGAGAAAGCCAACAATGTTTTTTTCCCATGCTCAGTATCTGAGTGCAAAGATGCTGCTTCTGGCTCTGCTTTTGTTTCAGTGCAGAGTTCATGATGAGACTTTATACTACTTTGTCACACTTTCCCAGTTTGCAAAGTAGATTATGTTTCTAAAGAGCTACTGAGAGGATTATTCACGTCTGGGGAAGTGTTTGAGGATATGTAGTAGTGCATATTAGGTTGCCTTTTAATACTTCAATATTGCATTGCTGAGAGTGGTCTCAGACTCCTCCCACTGCACCGATCCAAAGCAGGCTGTTTTCTTGTCTGACAAACCAGGTAGTGTGATAATCCCTGTATATTAATATTGGCTTGACGTTGGCCAGTAAATAGTGATGCTATCTAATTTTACTTATGAATTTAAGATATTCTACAGTTCTTCAGAAACACTAGTGTATAGCTTTATAAGCTTTTCTTTTCAAGAATTGAAGTGAACCCATACATTATGCTTATAGTTGTTTATGCAACTCAGCAAGTACCACTAAACTCTGTGCTAAGTTACAATGTCTTATTGTTCTTAACAAGGGAACACTGGAGTTCTTTACTCATCTTTACGATGAGGACGTTCATCCAATGGAAGAGGTTCCCAGAGAGGTTGTACATCCTCTAAACCACAGAGATATAGAGACTGGAATAAAGGCTTGAGTTAACTCATATAACCTTATAGTTGATCCTGCCCTGAGCAGGATTTTTTGTCGAAATGACTTCCTGAGCTCTGAATGATCCTGTGTTCATCTAGAGACTTCTGGCAGTTTCTGAAATGAGGAAAAAAATAATTGGATGGTAAGGTACAGCGAGTGCAGGAACAAATGCATTGACTTGTCTTTGCTTTTTTCTCCTCTCCTGATCTCTTTTGAAACTGTATGCTTGTGAGTCATAAAGCATCAGAGTTTCAAAAGCTGTCTAAGAAATGAATGAATGATAAAGCTACTTCTCTGGCAGTTATCATTTTAGATAATTAGGATGTGTTTCCATTTCATTGGTCGATTGATCCTCCAGATGGTGAGAGGAAAATGAACACTATCCAAAGGACACAGATCAGCTCAGCTAATCACTGACATGGACAACACATGCCTCTGGGGTTTCACTCCCTTGTCTAGTTCTTCCCTTTCTTACACAATGTATGCAGGGAAAACAAGCGTTCATTCTGTGTGTTTGAAGCTGTACCAGAAAAACCTTCTGTTGTTCCAGAGCTTTTCCTTCTTACCCAGCAAACCTACAGTATATGGGCAAATAAAGGCTTGGTTTTTATTTGTTTATTTGTATTCCTTCCTCTTATTTTCATTTTATTTACTAGGTTTTAAATTTACCCCCCACCCTCCCCCCCCCCCAAAAGGCATTGATTTGGTTGCAGACATGCTGGTGGTTTTATTTCCCTCTGAGAAAATATTCCACATTGCTAAAACCACAATCAACTTAGGCACTTCATTGGCAGCCCATTTAGTGTCCAGGGCTGTATTTCCAAGTGGCATGTATAACGTTTGTTGGAAAGTGGAAGTATAAGGAAAAGTATATTAAATAGCAGAATGGATAATGTTTAATGGATAAATTATCAGTTAATAACAGGAATATTAGATTGTACTGTTTCTCTTGCTTGTCTTCCAGTCCATTGCATAAAGAGGAAACATTTTCTTATTTTCTTTTAAAGTCAAAACACTCCTGATAATGAAAAAATCGGACTGCAAATTAATCCTTTAATTCTACAGAAGAGGAGGTGTCCCATTGATTTATGACAAAGCTTTTTCAATTTGGATGCTCTGTGTACGTACCAACACTAACCACGTTTGACCTACAAACTAGAGCTCTGTCTTTATTGGATGTGATCAGGCAGCTGCCAATAGGGCAGAAACTTTTCGCAAAGCATTTTAATTCTTATCTGACCTGATGTTGATTGACAGGAGTGAGAATCTCACTGTGTAACTGGAAATCCTTAGTGCCACTCTGGATGATCTGACCAATTGTTAAACAGCACACAGAGTAGAAAAGCCAGGAGAAGCTGTGGATTGTTAGTTAACACTTCGCTTATGTTACTTTTACAGATGACAAATGTGACCAGAGAGCACTGCCTGGAAATTATCGATAAGTTTGAACCATGCCTGGAAAACAAGAAGGCAGGAGCTCTGGGGATTGATGGTAAGTTGACTGGTATAGCTGCTGTGGGAGAGCGTGAACAGTGTTTAAATGCTTATGACAAATCACATTTGTTTGCACGCTTATAAAGTCATAGAATTGTATTAGATAACATAGAGAATGCTTTTAAGTAGGTTTGGCATTGGGTTGTTGCTTTCTGTGAGAGGGGAGGTATCTGTTACTTACTGAGGTGAAGTTAGTATTCTTTGGAAGATTTTAGAGTCTTCTATGCATTACACCACTTACTATTCCATCAAAATCTTTTGAATTATAAACCTACAATGTCAAGTTCTGGTTAAATACAGGCATGTTTTCCAGGAAAGTCAGAGCAAAGAACTGTCTTGTGCTGGGTGGGATACAGATTTACTTCTTTATTTTACTTGATATGTTCATGACTGTGTTGGTGCATGCAGGGATGTGTTCTTAGCTGGTTTCAGGAAGACCACAGCAACAAAAAGAACAAAACTGTCTTACTTATAGTATTGTTTGTTCATAGGTTTCACCAATTACATGCGGAGTCCCTCAGGGGACATTTTCAACCCAGAACACTACCAAGTGAATCAGGACATGAGTTACCCTTTGAGTCACTATTTCATTACCTCTTCACATAATACCTACCTCATGGGAGATCAGCTGATGTCCCAGTCTAGGGTGGACATGTATGCATGGGTGCTACAGTCTGGCTGTCGCTGTGTTGAAGGTAAAGAACATAAAGGAATCATCAGTAAGCTCCATGCTTTTGCTTCTCCGTGAAGAAAGACTTAGGACTATAGCAGAAGATCTAATAATTGCTTGGACTAAGGAGCCTTACCAAATGATGTCTTCCTGTTATGAAAAACATTAAATTATGTTGCTATACAGTGGATAAATTTTCTTGAATATAAGAGTGAGGCGAACAATGGAGGAAGTGTCATTGGTACTAAGGAAAAAATTGGTGACAATGATCTCTGGAAAGAATGCTAACATTTGCTAGGATGTGCTGGGGAGCATACTTTCTGGCCAAATGTATGTCAACCAGACAGGCAAACAGGGCAGAATTCTCACTGAAAACAGAGGAGAAAGCTGATATTTCTGACGAGGAAAATGTGGTTTTATAATGCAAGATACTGGTAGTCCTGTAATGACCCAGAAGCTTTTTTGAAATTTCTTTTGATGTTTGTAATGCTTTTCTGAGACTGCCTCTTCTGTAATCATCTGTTATATCGTGACCATCAAAGTGCTTTCACATTTTTTCAGAAGGCTAATATTATAGTTTGCTCAGGTCAGATTGTGGACATGCCAGAGCGTGCTGCGGAGCAAAGCATTTCATAGAAACATGACTGTAAACAAGTGTGAGCTTAGGCAGAATCCAAGGAAGACCGGAGTTGCTTAGAGTTTGGCTCTGGTTGTGATGTGAGAAGCTTGGCTAGGATTCTCTTGCATTCCCTTTAAGGTCCAGCAGTAGTATAATGAAAATAATGCTGTGCTATGTCATCTCTTCTCCCTTCATAATATTCCTCAGCACTTCTTAAAGAGATCTTTTTTTTGCTTGGGGCTTTCTCAAACAATGCGTACAACTGTCTACACACAGTAAAATGATGGGTATCATTGTTTCTCTTCTGCAGTTGACTGCTGGGATGGGCCGGATGGTGAACCAATTGTCCACCATGGATACACTTTGACTTCCAAAATTCTCTTCAAAGATGTGATTGAAACTATCAACAAATACGCCTTTATCAAGAATGAGTATGTGTACAATCTGCTAACTTTTGAGACATAAGGGAGTTGAAAGCACTGCATGTTTAGGTTTTTTCTATGATTGGCTTTCTTGAATCTCTCTAGTAGGAAGTGGAGGTCAGGACTGGCTAGTATAGGAAAGTGAAAAGTGTGCTCTGGAAAAAATGCATCAAATCAGATTGAAGAAGTTGAATTGTTCTGTGGTGATCTAAAATAGACTATTCAGTTTGGAGAGAGTACTGGGATATCAATCAGGATATCTACCCTCTAGATTTCATTGGTGGTCATTCTCCTTACAGGAATGGCTCAGACAGTAATAACCCTTATCTTTATAATGCCAAAAAAGCTAAATTTGCAGTTGGTGATACTTCCTTATGTCTTGCCAGGTACCCTGTTATCTTGTCAATTGAGAACCATTGCAGTGTAATTCAGCAGAAGAAGATGGCCCAATATCTTACAGAAATTCTGGGTGACAAACTGGATCTGTCTTCTGTGCACAATGATGACTCTACCAGGCTCCCTTCACCAGCAAGTCTTAAAGGGAAGATACTGGTTAAGGTAAAAACGTGGTTGGTTTGTTCCATCTCTCCTTTTTTGTGATGACTACAATCTCTGCCTGGTTATCACTTGTGTGCTAATTTAAATGACATCACGATAAACAAGCTGTAATGAAGGTTTAATGCAGTGATAAAGGCCGTTTGGGGCTGTTTGCCAGCATTATCTAGGTAAGCCAACACAAGTAACAATTTCTGAAATATGTGTAGCTAAAGAATAAGTTTTACCTTTCATATAGTGCCCGTGCATCTGGCTGGCTGTGCAAGAAGGCAGGCTCCTGATGCACAACTCTTAGAAAGCAGCTATTTTTGAGACACTGAAATAGTGATGTTTTTCTGGACCCTGAGCTGAATATGTGAGAATACAGACAGGATTTTGTCTTTAACAGATTTGGCTCAAGTTGAATGGGAAATTGCAATCTGCTCCTGTTCATTGAGTTTAAATTATAACCACACGTCATCTTCCTCATTCCTTCTTTCTGGCAGTTCTTCTACTTCTCTCCTGTTTAGAATAATATTATCATTTCACCTATTATCCAGTCAGCTCACAGTTTTTTAGCTCATGTTAATGAAAAAGTGAAGCACCGAGATGGAGAAAATCTGGCTGCTACAGTTGAATTGCATAATGAGAAGGTTTAGAAAAAAGGGAATCTGTTTTCTATTAGTTCACCCTGATCAGAGAAGTAAATAAGATTTGTTCTTCATGAATATCTTCTTTTCTTTGACCTTCAACAAACACAAACAACAAGTCAGGAGCATTTTAGTGTTTGCTTGCATGTTAAGATTTTCACCTCTATGGGATTTTTTTTTTTTTTTTTTTTTTAATTTCCCATCAGTAATGATTTTTTTGTTTAATTTTGTTTCGTTTAAAATATGTCATAGCAAGAGCTGTGTGCTAACCTGCCTGTGTGATCATCTTCTAGGGGAAGAAACTTCCAGCCAACATTAGTGATGATGCAGAGGAGGGTGAAGTTTCTGATGAGGACAGTGCTGATGAGATTGATGATGACTGTAAAATAATGAATGGAGATGTAAGTTAAGTGATCGTTTAAATGTAAATCTATTTTACATTTTCCCATTGCAGACAGAGGAAGCCTTGTATGAGTTCTCTCAAATTTGGTTTGATCTTGCAAATAACATTCCGTTTTCTGCTAATCCCAGCTGGAATTGCTAAGATTGTTTTGCCTGTATCTTGTTTAATGATTATGTTTTGTTCGTAGGCATCTACAAATAGGAAAAGAGTGGAGAACATAGCAAAGAAAAAACTTGACTCACTGATAAAAGAATCCAAAATCCGTGACTGTGAAGATCCAAACAATTTTACAGTTGCCACTCTGCCATCATCTGGGAAGACTGGTCAGAAATCAGACAGTAAGAAGGTGAACATATAATGTACATCACTCAACCCCTAGATTTAGCTGCACTTTTGTCTCTCTATAGCTGCTTAGTACTGCTGTTTCGTGACTGCTTCCTCAAAAGAGTGCCTAAGGTTGGACTTTTAAATCTATTTTGACACTCTGAATAAAGGTGACTTAGTTTACCAGTGAGATCTGCAGCTGTCATAGCACTAATGAAACTGAAACACGCTCAACTCTGCCCTTAAAAGAAAATTGTGTGCCCTTAAAAGAAAAGATGAATGTGGATTTAGAAAATTTTGTTTGCTGGTTTTGGCCGCAATCATAGGTCTTGTTACACTGGTAGGAATTTAGTTAAATTTATTAGAGTTATTGAAGTTTCCCATCATTGTGAAGTAATATTTTTGCCCCCAAATATTCTTATGGCAAAATAGAAAATGCTTTTCCTTCTGTAGTACTTGATATTTGTTATTATCTGTATTTTGTTAATACCTCATATTTCTTATATAAAATCTAAAATATGCAGATGATTTTTTTGTCATTTTTGTCCATTTAGTGGAAGCCTCTTCTTATTTTGATGATAATGATATTTTAATTCTTGCTGTTTTCATTATTTACGCTTGGTGCAAAGAGATGCTTGTTGTTGCATATGAATAATGAAATATGGCAGTCCTTCAAAATAGAAATTGAAATGCTAAATACCTCTTTGTCCAACATCCAAAGACTTTCTCCGATGGTTTTGGAGGAAGAGGTGTTTAGCATTTCAGTTTGTTATGGTTTATTACCTTACTGAATAAATAATATATTATAGACTTCAGATTTCATAGCTGAGTTCATTCAGTTAATGATGATGCCAGGTGAACATCACTGTCAGATTTGTGAAGCTTTTTTTCTCACTCAGCAATTGGAGCATGAAATGTACACACGAAATGACTTTTCAACAGAAAAAAATTGTTTCCCATTATATAAAAAAGTGCATATGAAAGCTGAGCTTTTTTCCCTCTGCTCTCTCTTTTCTGTACACCTACTTTTGTATTTTAATCTTATACTAATGGTTCTTTATGAAAATGTGAATAGCCAACACTTCAGGAACGTGAGTGTTGTAATTTTGGAATTTATAATAAGCTAAGGAATGCTGCTGCATGCAAATGAAAAACATTGGAGGTCTGCCAATCTGCAGGTGAACAAACTGGGCATTAAAACCAGATGAAAGCTAAAATTCAGCTTCCCAAAACTTTCTTTTTCATGAGTTTTGTACGTACTTTTAAAATGAATGATTTAGGTGATGCATCAGACAGTACTTCTGTAAAATCTGCTGTAAGGCCAAGACTGTAGGAATCCTTCTGAGTAAGCACTAGCCAGAGTTGTCTGTGTCAGATTAGAGTGGGAAACAGTGAAACTATAAGGTCATATTAAAGATTAGAGGCACCAATGAATGATACACTTTCTTAGGGACTGCAAGAAATTTGATTCTTTCTTATCATAGGCTAGACACGTGAAGCCATGTAACTTAGGCCACGTTTCATGGCAGAAATAAGTCCTGTTGAGCTATGCTTTTCATATATTAAGTTAGAAAACAGTTTGTCACCAGTGAATATACACTGCTAGGGTGCACTCAGAGCTTATGTGGATAAAAATAATATTTCCTGATGCATGGAATTTAGTATTTTTGTGATCTGTATCTGCTCTGAATGTTCCTGTGGATGAAAGTGATGACAGTTACTGCTAGGATAAAAGATCTTGTGCTCAGCTTGTATTAAAAAAAACATCAAACATACAAGAAAACCCTGCTTTGGTCTGGTCATGTTTTATTGACATTTTAGGGTGAGTTGCATCCCAAACTATTTTTGATTATGTTTGTGCATGCTGTCTGTAGTACTCTGCTCAGGTCTGCTGCACTATTTTTTCTGTTTGATTATTTTAGAATAAACTTGAGGATGATGTGGAATCTGGGGAAGACTTCATCACCAATAAAAGGCACAGCCGGACATTGATGGGCAGCTTTTCTAAACGCAAGGTAAGCCACCCTAGGAAGTTCTACTGTGAATGTGGCATTCTTTCTAGATTCTTTCTTTTAGGCAACAGTAGGAGAGGATTATCATATTTGTACTATCTGGCTTGCTGTTGCTCTGTTTGCTGAATAAACAGGACAGATAACTGGTTATAATTGTGCATAACATCTAGTTTCAGTTTACACTGAAGTCTAAAAGGACGGAAGGTCTAACATGAGTTTAGTTTTTTTCTTGATTGGTCCACATCCTTCATAGAAAAAAGTGAATCTCTTGAATATTGGAGTCCATTCTATATAACAGTTTTATTTTGTTGTGGCACAGAAAAAAGGAAGCAAATTGAAAAAATCAACCAGTCTGGAAGAAGGTGAAGATGATGCTGATTCTCAAGGAAATGTAGCCAGAGGCTCTGTACATTACACCAGGTTTGTAACAAGTGATTTGGCAGCTTTGTTTCTGAGAAAGATTCCTGCCTGAATGTACCTGCTAAATAGCCATGCTTGAGCTCTGTTTGTTGACGGGTATCCTCAGTTGTGTGAGAGGAATTTCACATGAGGGTAGATCCAGTGTCAGCCACAACATCAGAATGATCTCTTGGTGCTGTTTGGACTAATTAGCAATGTATAGTGGATCCAATATGCATCTGAGCTCTTACCATCTCATCCAGCTGACATGTAGACTGTTTGACTGGCAGCCCAGCAAACCCATTACAGTTGATTTGCAAAGTAAATCTGCTTGCTGGTGCTTTTTGTTGTTTGTTTCTTTGTTTTTTTGCCACATAAAATTGCATAAAGGTTCACGTGATGTTTTTTAATTTTCTTTTGAAACTACCTTTCCCAAAATCCTGAAATCAAAGGTCCTCTGTGGAATGGCTCTGTAAGATTCAGCCTGTAAAAGCAGGAAATCAGATCAAGCAGTTCTCTAGGATACTTTGGAACTTTCTTCAGGAGATTAGTAGATACTCTGTTAGTGATAACCTGAAGCAAGTGAGGAAGATCAGAGCATTACAGTTTTGCTATTTCTTTGGGATTTAAAAGTGTTTCTGCTGGTACTTGACTTGAGAAGAAAATGTATGTGTGAACAGATATCCTACCCTTTGGTCAAAGTAATTTAGAGTCCTCTCCATCAGGTTTTCGTATGTGAATATTTATGGTTGCCACTAACATGTAAGAACAGAACTTGTTCTGTTTGTACATTAATGCAGTTGCTTCCACTGCTTTGACAGTGAGTCTCTGCTATAAAAATCGAATACCTCCTTGATGAAGAAAACCTTCTTATTTCTCTACTCCGATTTATTTTTAAATGTGAAAAGGAAAGTTTATCTCTTATTTCATGGGAAATTTAAATGTTTTATTATTCCAGGATAAACCGGCAGAAGAAAACAATGAAGTTGTCACGGGCACTCTCAGACCTGGTGAAATATACAAAGTCTGTTGGCATCCATGATGTTGAAGCTGAAAGTAGGTTGATGTAGAAGTCTGCTGGAAGTAATTGCTGTGCAAATAAATTGAAAGATTTATGTTCTTAGGTCTTTTCTATTTAAAAGTTGTTTATGTGTTTGTTTCTACTGTAACTTCAGAAAAGTTTAACAGAAGAGCTGCATGTAAAGCTGTGCTGTTTCAAAGTGGCTGATCACTTGCTATTCAGAAGCTACAAAATGGGTATAGAGTTGTGTGGCAGCTACTGTAAAGGAGGTAAAACTACTCCACGTAGCAGTGACACATGTACTTTTTGGTAGCACTTACAAATGTTGCTACACACCATTTACGTCACTGGATATAACAGAGGGCTTAGTTATTTTCTGGGGAAGAATGGTTTGGAGAGCTTTTCAAACCAAGACAAGTATCTCCAAAGCTTAGATTTTACTTCAGACCTGGTGAACCATCCCCATTATATTCCTAGAATATTTCAGTCATCTTTCTACATTTTCTGCATCTGATTTTCACAGGAATCAAAATTTAGTTAAAAATGTCAGAGAATTGCTTGCCAGAAATAATACTTTCTTTCAGCAAATTGAAAAAATCTTAGAGAACTTTTGTAACTTCTTAATGAGGATTCAGGCCATTCAGTTTCCTTATCCTAGCTTTAATTCCTCCAGTAAGCACAGCTAGTCTTCTATAATATAAGAAAAGAATTGTTCCCTCAAAGTAGAATGTATTCAAATTATGATAGATTGTTATAAGTAATTAATGCTATCTTTGTTTGAATGCCTTATTTAGATAATAAATAAATAAGGAGATTAGGCCTCTAATCACTTCCTCCCTTTGCAGTCTCTTCCAGCTGGCAGGTTTCATCTTTCAGTGAAACAAAAGCCCACCAGATACTGCAGCAAAAGCCAGCACAGTATCTACGTTTCAACCAACATCAGTTATCCCGCATCTACCCGTCTTCCTACCGCGTGGACTCCAGCAACTACAATCCCCAGCCATTCTGGAATGCGGGCTGCCAACTCGGTGAGCAAAAAGAGAGTTTATTTTTGTTCTATTTTGGAAGGAATGTTTTAATGGGAGCTTTAAGAATCATTTCTTAAAGTACTTGAATTCTTTGCTTATTCAACATTACTGACATTTGAGTCCTTCCTGTTATTTTTCTATGCTGCTTCCTAGACAGAATACTTGAATCATATGCCTTCTGTGAAGGCAACTGTCTGCTGAATGGGGATAAAGTAATATCCTTCTCAAATTCAAGACAACTTCTGAGATTCATTTGCAGAGCTTCACTCCCTGAAGCTGATGTGTTCTATAGCATAGAACTCTTTCAGAAAATACATTTTTGAGTTTTTGCACCCAAGAAATCAAAAGTGAAAATATACTTAGATGTTCTTCCTTTAACCTGGTTCTACAAACAATAATGTTGATAACATAATTTGTTAATAATAATGTTAAAAAATTTTGGTTGTTTGTTTGTTTTTTTTTTTTGCTTTTTTTTGGTGAACAGTGGCTTTAAACTACCAGTCAGAGGGGAGAATGCTGCAACTGAACCGGGCCAAATTTAGTGCCAATGGGAATTGTGGCTATGTCCTCAAACCAGACTGCATGTGTCAAGGTAAGAAAAATTATTAGAATGAGTGGGAGACTTACCATAAGAGCACAGTGAGTGAAGATCCTTACTACTACTCTTTTTTTTTTTTTTTTTTTTCTTTTATGTTCCATGATTTTTCATTCATTCAGGCATCTTTAATCCAAATTCTGAAGATCCACTGCCTGGTCAGTTGAAGAAGCAGCTGGTTCTAAGAATTATCAGTGGTCAACAGCTCCCAAAACCACGGGATTCCATGCTGGGAGACAGAGGAGAGGTATTAAACTATTAGTGATTGTTGTTATATGTTGGTGAAGGTTTATTTCCAAATTAGCTGAGCTTACGATGAGGATTTAATTTCCTGCAGTTATCTGTTGGGAGACATAGAACATGAATAAATTAGGCAGATCGTTATCATCCTAGATTTTTAGATGGTTTTCAAGTCTTCAAAGCATCACAGCAATAGTTGGAATCTTTTTTCTTCAGTTGTCAAAACAGTGCCACCAGGACAAGCAAAAACAGGCCAATAAGCTCATGACTGTGGGATTCTACTCACAACAGTACTATAAATGCCCTCAAATACAAACTGTCACTCAAAAAAAAAAAAAACCAAACAAAAAAAAAGCCCCACCAAACTGCTGAGCATGCCAAGCAAGGGAGATTTACTTTAAAGTCCTCCCCTCTGCTTAGATAAATCTGCTCCCAGTCCTCCATTTAGCACTGTGTTATTATGTTTTCTTTCTGTTCTTCTTTTTGCCTTCTCTTTTGTGAGTGACTTTTCAAGTTGTTATTTGTTTTGTTTTGTAATGCCATTTTTGTTATATAATGCCACAGACAACTCTATTTAAAGACAAACCAGGCTAAAATAAGTCAAATTTGAAACCTCTTGACGTACTTTTCAAGAGTTTTTGTTGATTTCTTGTTTGTTGTTGCAATATCATTTATGTTAGTTTATTGGTCATTAACAAATGCTAGGGTGAGGCATTTTTGTCAGAATTAAAGCCTCCTGTCAGCCTCCTGCCTTTTAGAGAGAGAATTGAGCCTCTCAAATGAGTTCTTACACGCTTGGTTTTTACATGGATATTGCAATCAGCTTCTAAATATTCCTTCCTCATAGAACTGTTTAGGTGACTACATCACACCAAGAAACCTTCCCTAAAAAGTAAATAAAGTAGAATCATACTAAGGGTTTGGTGAACCTTTGTATGTTTTCAATAGTCTCTTTCTATTTCTTTCTTTATTGTTATTAATACCACATGTACAACAGTATGGAATTTTTCCTAATTCAGATTGAACTCAAGAAAAGGAAGAATTATCTCTTCAACTTTCATTTTAACCTGAGAAGCAGAGGGATTTTTTTCATGCAGAACATAATCCTGGGAGAAAACTGAGCCTTTGAATTGAGTTCCCTGCAGCTGCAGTCATGTTTTAAGTGATTGCTCTGGAAGAGCCTCCAAAACATTCAGACTTACTCCCTCATGTCAAGAATGACAAACACTGTGATCATTCTGAATTATTTAAGTGATTGGACCTCAATCTCATTAGCATAGTAATCCTGTATAAAAAGTCTTAGGACCATTTATAATTAAGACAATAATGTACAATGCCCATGCTGTAATGTTTAGTCATGTGCTTGAATTTTGCCTTTATCACCTTTTCTTTTCAGGATTTGTTATTTTATGTTTTTCAGATCATAGATCCATTTGTTGAAGTAGAAGTTATAGGCCTACCTGTTGATTGCTTCAAAGAACAAACTAGAGTAGTTGATGATAATGGTAAGATTGCGGGAGTTTTTAGGCTTTCTTGTAGCTGAAACATCCTCTTCCAGGCAAGCATTTTTTATCAAGAGACAAACAGGTGAAACTTGTTGCCAATTATAGAGAAAAAATCTGAAAAACTGATATAGTTATTGATGTTAATTGGACTTGGATCTTGAATTATTCAAGTGAGTTGGTATGGTGTTGTTGAAGATCTTGGTGTGAAACTAGCCTTTTGTCTGACTTCTCACTGTACGTGCGAGAAAGGTATTTGGACTTGGCAGTGTTCAAAGGAAGAGTCAAAAAAGGTTAGTTTGTCCAAACACTCAGAGCAGTGCTAACTTCAAGTAAGATCAACGTTTCTTGCAAGTTCTTATACCATTGTGTCTCCTGAAGTGAGTAGGAGTGCTGGATTTTTAAAGAACAGTAATTAAACTGCTAGGAAAACTAGCATGTCATTGCAGTTCAGGTGCTCCTTTTATAGACAGTCTTCTTTCTTCATGCATCTCGTGAACAAAATAAAAGCTGGTTCTTTATTTCCCAGGATTTAACCCAATGTGGGAAGAAACATTGGTGTTCACGCTGCACATGCCAGAGATCGCGTTGATTCGGTTCCTGGTGTGGGACCATGATCCAATTGGGCGGGATTTTATTGGACAAAGAACAATAGCTTTCAGCAGTATGATGCCAGGTAAGAAAGAAATGAGGAATTACCACATCAGTTGTTCAGGACTTTTTTGCTGTTTTGCTATCATCTATTTCCCTTCCTTGTCATCTTGGTTTATCCTGCGTTTCAGGTTACCGACATGTATACCTAGAAGGTATAGAAGAGGCATCCATCTTTGTTCATGTGGCTATTAATGACATCTGTGGTAAGGTAAGTGCTGTCAGTGCAGTGCAATGTGATCTGTGTATGTCAATGAACTGACAGGATTTTGTGTCACACTAGAGAAGTCCAGTGAGTGAGGGTCTGTATGAACCTATTTACTCTAACTTCATCTGTGTGATTGTCATAGTAGCCTAAGATCTTTGAGTGCACACCAAAACTCAAATTTTAGGATACATTATAAAAAAAGATTCTTGCAGCACATTTTTGAGGGAGCCAAAGGAGTTTATCTCATTGCAGTGTACACATGTTCTTATGAATAAATGTGCTTGTATCCAGTATAGTAAGTGCACATTGGTAAAGAAGAGGTTACACCCTTGAACCATGAGTGCTTTCTTCCTGTAAAGTTTATTCTACGAAGGCCTGGTCTGCCTGATGATTTTGCATTTTAAATTTAATTAAGTTTCTAGCCGTCAGTTGCTTAGGAATTCTTCCATAATAGCAATTAAAGTGCAGGGGAGATTTGGTCTTCATAATTATGGTTGGGCTTATTCTCCACTGTTCATTTCTTGGTAATAGTGTGCTTACTTCATGTGCAGGAGAAGTACAGCTAATTCATGTGAATAACTCTCAAGCTAAAAATAAAGCTCTAACTTTGCCTGGGCCAGCTAGAAATGAGTGCACCGCGGGGAAATAAACTGGATTTAATTACTTCCACTGAATAAATTTCAATGAGATTCAGGATTCTGAGTATCTTATAGGGCCTTGAGAATCTCAAAACCAGTTTATAATCGCTTATTGTGAGGCTGAGCCCTTTCAACAAAGTGATATATCAATATCCTGACAGCAGGAGGCAGCATTGAACTGGATGGGAGTTCTAAGGTGGTTTGTTTTGGTTTTTTTTTTTTGGTCTTTTTTTTTGTGTTTGTGTGTATGGTGTTCATGCAGAAAGAATTGAAATAATTCTTACAAAGGAAAATAGCTTTTTAAATTGCTCTAATTTAGTGGGACGAAACCAAGATAACTACTAGGAAAGCTTCATTTTCAGTTTATAAAAAGAGCTGTTTCTGGAAAGTGTGGCTTTCATGAGGATGAAATGAGATATTAAATACCTCATGAAATGAGATGTTAAGCTCAGTTCCTGCTTTTTTTAATTTGATATCTGACACTAGAGTCTCTGGGCAGGTGTCGCTTCAGACTGACAGAGATGGGAGTCCTGCCTGAAACTCCCTGTTGCCTGCATTATGAATGTCTGAATGTAGCTCTGTGGAGCAAGAGAGACAGTTGGTGTTGGTCTGAGTAAGACAGAGAACAGGCTTTAATGATCATAGTGCCTGTCACAAGTAAAAGGCTAACATGAAGGTTATTAAAGACAACTTAATGCTCTTCAGGGAAGAGTAATGATAAGCTGACTAATTCAATGCTAAGATTTTGTTCTGACTGTATTTTTGTGTTTCAGGGAATTGTAGCTAAGTCGTGCCTTTATGACTGTGAGTAGGGATGTGATTCTCTCAGAAAGCTTGCAGACACTTGCTGGATGCATGCATTAGCAAAGATTCAAACAGATTTACTTTTGATTATGAACTTTGGAGTTCCCCCGATTAGGTCTATTGCTCATTCTTGAATAGGTCTTTCAAACTCACCAGACTTGTAGCAAGTCCTGGAGAAGCTCACCCTTGGTCACAAGGCCAGTGGGAATTGATCTTACCTTCTTAGTGGCTGTGTCCTTCACCTACATCCTTTAATGAAAGCAGGCATCTATTTGCTCTATGGCTCCAGCAGAGATGATGACTGGCCTTACCAGCGCTACTCATCTTTTTTCTTCTTTTCTGTTCTACTCTTAGTCAAAATGATGGAGAATAGAGAGATTCTATTCTGTCTCTCAGTGTCGTGTGCAGTTTTTGTATTCCAGTTGTGCCCTGCATTCAGGTGATGCCTGTGCTGCTGTTGCAAGGATAGCATATACTTCAATATCCTGTTAGTAACTGAAGTCTAACACTCAGTGTCTGCTGTCAAATGGGATTTTTAGGCTAAGACAAACTGAGTCTGCCATCATGACTAATAACTTCAATGACTAAAACTTCAGCTTCCAAGTCATTGATACTGATTGTGATTCTTTGTAGAAGAGATTGTTTACAGTCTTAAGAGTTTTCACCTCAACTCTTATTTGGCAATATTGTGAGGCATTATCACTCTTTTAGTCCTTACTTTATCTAATCTTTCATAATTATTTGCTCTTATTAGCTTCTTCATGAGTAACTGGCTGGTGATAGTTATAATTTGTAGTAGGGTGACATGCCTGTTTAAACTTTGGCAGCTGTTTTGAGGTCAGTAGATTTTCTTAGTAAGTTTTCAAACAGCTTAACGACCCTTATGTATCACACTTGTCTCTTCCCTGTCCTTATCTGCTAGCTTCCAAACTACTGCACTAATTTGTTTCTTGATTGCTTTGTCCCCTTTTCATGTTCTCAATATATTACACACCCCTTGTTGCTTCTCATCATCATTGCAGTCTCTGGAGATTTTCTGGTGTTAAAATGTTGATGTGGTGCACAACCTAATTAAAATGCAAGGACTTGGAAAGAAAGCTTGTACTCTGTAGCTACAGGTCTGGTTTTTACCCATCCTTTATTAATCTAAATATTCTAATGCAAAAATAAAGCTTTTTAGCATTTTCAACCTTTTCATTAGTTTGGCATCACAAAAGCAGAGTCTTAGATTTCTTTTGCTTCAACGTGTGTTTAACCGAAATTTCTTCTAGCTTGCACTGTTTCCTGGAGACTTTTATTTGTCCGTCTCTTCTGTAGTCTATTTATGTATTGTGGAATTTCTCCTCTTTTTCTTAGATGAGACTCTCCCTCTCTGTTGTTGTGTGTCTTATTTGCCTTTACTCTGTCTGTTTGTGATTTCAGTGGGCTTCTCTATGTCAAAAAAAGTCTACTTTTAGAAGCAGAACATTTTTAGACGCCTTGAAGGTACCCCCTCCTAACTCAGGGAGGTGTAGTGACCACCAGCACACACCTGCATGCCTCTAACTTCGTTAGCATCAATGTTTCCTTACTAGCATTTTGAAGCCCTTCAACTCATGCCATGGATTGTGACATTTGACTTGGTCAGTTTTGTTGGGTCATTGCTCAGCTGGAGAGGCCCTCATTTATGAAGCAGATCCAGGATAAAAGTCCTTCTATAATCTCTCTCTATTCTTTGAGTTTTTGCTTACCATCTCTTCTCTTACAAGCTGTAATTCTTTCATGTGGAAAAGAACCTTTAGCAGTGAATGCTTTTCTAAATTGTGGAGAAGCCTCTTTCTAAGTATTTTGAAAACTGAAGTGGCCCTATAAAAGCTGGGATAAAGGCTAAAAGCACATATTCTGGATCTGCATCAAAATGGCTCTCTTTTTCAACTTTTTTTGAGAATTTTTTTTTTATGTTAACCAAATTTATCTCTGCATTCTTGAATCAGTCAATTGATTCAAGCAATAGTGTCTAACTTTACAAAGATGCACCAAGTGATCAGGAATGATACCTGGGGCCCTGCATTGCTTGTCACCCATTCCATTACTGCTTTTCTTTTTTTGTTTTTAATTATATGTATATGCGTGTGTCATTTTTTTCCTAACTTTGCAAATATTTATATTGTATGACTTTTATAGCAATAAATTTGTGTACTTGCCAACTTTCACCAATTGGAGCGGAACATTTTTCTCCTCACTGCTTAACAAATGCAGAATCTCATTTTGAAGCTTCCTAGAGGAAGCTGAGTCTACTTTGATCCAAGCAGACTGTTAAATAGCCTGGCTCTCACAGGATGCTTATTAATATTTCAATTACATTTTCTTTGCTGGCTATTATTGGCACTGCTTCTGTCCACAAATGGGAAAGAGACAATCCCTGCCTTCTTTATCTTACTCTCTGTATGTTTGTGAAGTCCATTCTAGGTTGCTTTTTAGCTATCTCTTTCTCACAGTGGATTTTGGCATGTGATAAGTAAACTGCATAAATGCCAATCAAATTTACCATGGGTTTCTTACAATGCTTTTCAGTTATAGGCTTCTGTACTATATTTTTATTCATTCTTTATGCTTAAGGAAGTGAACCACTGCCTAATCTAACTAAGATCCTAATCTAACTGGAAAATAAAAGCAACAAAGGCGAAGTAGATTAGAAGGGTCATGCTTCTTTCTCTGCTTTACTTGTAAGAGGCTCTATGCATGGATCAAGACCAATCCACTCTTTATCGTACATCAACTTTAAAAGTTGGCAAGTACACCTGGAATGTTTACAGGAATGCTGAAATTCTTTTAGTTTCACTGAAATGTGAATCACTGTATGATGGTGGGGGAATCTTTAACAGTGCTTCTGTATTTCATACTTAAGTACTGAAGTATATGAAGTACTCTATTTTCAACGTGACTAACTTCATCTGTTTATGATGTGTTTCTTCAGTGATGAAAACATACATGAGTGTCTTTGGATGTATTGTATGGTAGGAAATGATCATAATGTAATTGCACAGGTAGAAAGAGAAATATTTTGAAGACCACATGTCAAACGTGTAGTTCAGTTCCTTCTTGTGATATTGCTTAAGTGAGGAATCAGTATTGTTTATACTGAAAAACAATATATGATGTTCTTATGTCCACTGTGTATTTCCTGACAGCTATAAAAGATGCAAAGATGTAAAGATTTTGGCATCAAATTTGTCATGATCTATAACATAATAAGAGAAAAATAATACTTAGCTGAATATGTCACTATCATTTAAATTCTGTAATCATCTGATATTGCATGAGAAGTAAAGTTAAGATGATTTTAAAATATCTTTTGAAATTGCCACCATTTCTACAGCTTGTTTTGTGTGACGTTTGTTTGATTTTTTTGTTTCTTTTTTTTTAGTTTCTTCCTCTCATTTTCTCAGAACATCCTGTTTTATTCCTGCTGGAACCTCTGGTGCATGCTGCAAATTTCTTGTCTGAAATATGAGTGTTAGTTACCATTCCCAGTTTAAGAGACAGGAAAGATTAGACGAGTCAGCATCTAATGTGCAGTTTTGCACAAATATGATGTTCTACATAAGCTGAAGAATTCAGCGCTGTGTTTCAAATTCAATTTAATTCTTCAACAATTCTGATTGGCCTTATCCTAACATATTTAGCTGCATGAATTTGCAGGTGGATTTTTTTTTAATTGAAAAACATGCTCAGATATTTTTTTTAAGTACTCTGTTTGCCAGCAGGTCTTAACTTCAGCAAAGCCCCAAAGCTGGTAATGGCACTTGAGGATAACATCAACTAGTGGTGTTTGTAGCTTTATTTTAATTACAGTGTGATATAGAAGCCTGAGTGTTGTTTAGTATTTTCTGATAGAGCAGTTTGTTAGAACATGAGTTCACAGTGTAAGAACTAGGATGTCCTAATTCCTCTGTTATGCTAATTCCTTGGGATTATTTACACGCATGCTTGTAAGGAGCTATAAATTAATAAGAAATTTATGACAAATAGAGAAATAAGCCTGGCTGGAAAATGTTATGTAAACACACACACAAAAAGTGAAATTGTGCAAAACAGTTGCTGCTGATTTTTCACATTTTTATTTCCTGTCCCATTTTTGATTTAGTTGATATGCTGATGTCAGAAATACACCAGAATATTCTGTGTGTAAGTGCATGTGTGTGCAGTGCACGAGTATAGAATCATAGAATCATTTTGTCACTTGATCGTTGAACTTGAGTTCCTGGGCCCAAAGGAAGAGCTTTCCATTTTCTGTTAAGGACTTTTTTTTTCTTAATTTTCCAGGTCAAACAAGCTCTGGGCCTAAAAGGCCTATTTCTCAGAAATCCAAAGCAGGCCTCCCTGGACAGTCATGCTGCTGGTCAGCTCCACCGCAAACATTCCTTTAGCAGCCACATCTTGAGACGGACAGCAAGTGCACCCACCAAAAGCCAGAAGAAGAAGAAGGGCTTTCCTGAAATTGTTTTTGACACAAAAGACAACAGCTCTGAAGGGGCCAGTGAAGACCACGAAGCAGAAGCTGCCTCACAGCCTTGCTTTGCGCAAGAGTCAGACAGTGCTTCTCTGTCACCAGCTCCCAGGGATGGTGCCAGTGGGGAGATACAAGGCAAAGGGTTGAAAGGTAAGGCCCAGAGTTCTCATAAAGCCAAAAGTCAGAGTTGTGCTCAAGGGGGTGCTGCTTTCAGTGAACCCATACAGAGGTCTAACAGGGTCCGGCTCCGGGAGCACCAGAGTGAGAAGCAAAGTGTTTTTGCACGCTGCGCCATCAACAGCTCTGGTAGGATTGGAGTGGCCACCAACTGCATGAAATGCATGATTGGTTCCAAAGAAAGCCCAGATCTAGAAAGCAAGTGGAGTGACCAACCTACCAGGCCTATTGCTAAAGATTTGCTTCACCATGATCAGTATAACAGTATAAGTGGAGAAGAGAGGTTAGAGCTTGAAAACTGGGGTGTTAAAGCTCAGTCCAGACCACAGTCAGATTTGCAGTCTTGCAGCCCTGGAAATGCTGATGATCTAACAAGGAGCACCCAGTCTTTCATGACCTCAGGGAAGAAAAATGTTGAATCTAAATGTCATGGAATAAAGGCTCATTCCCGGCAGCGGTGGCAGTGCCAATCAGGTGGCAAGTATGGAAGCACTATCAACTTGGTTGCAGCCAGCAATGGCTCTATATCCTCCAACTCCAGCAGTCTAGAAAGCCTTGGAAGCCCAGAATTTCCCAAGCGCTGTTCTGAAACTTCTCGAAGGCAAGTGGGCACCCTACAGAGGGAAATGAATGCCTTATTCGTTCAAAAATTGGAGGAAATTCGAAGTAAATCCCCTATATTCTTTACTGGTAAGACCAGATTTTCTTCACCCTTCTCCACCTTAGATCACATCATTGTCTCAGCTTCTGCATAGCATCTTTACCTTGAAGCTCCTGTGTGCTGTTTTGCTATCCAGAGCTCTTTTTTTTATTATTATTTTTAGCAATTACAGAAAAAAAAAAGCATAAATATTTTTATTTTATTTTTTTTCATAGATGTGCCTGGTTTAGACTAGTCCTTCCCACGCCTAGTTGTCCATCTGCAGTAGTAAAAGCTGTCAATAGTCCATGAATGTTTGGATTGCTTGTTCAGGGCTTTTTGTTTCCCCTTTTTTTCTTTTTTCTTTTTTTTTTTTTTTTTTTTTCAGTGGATGTGGTATGATACTAAGCAAATTTTAAGATCCAAACCAGAGCATTAAGTAGAGATTGAACATAGGGAATCTGTTTTAACAAATGTTATTTCCATCATCAACATTTGTGTTTTACTGAGCAAAAACCACAACAGAACTGATATCTAATGTGCTTTTTTTTTTTTTTTTTTTTTAAACAATCAAACAAAATTCCTTCCTCAGAGAACTTGCAATTTATTGTGTCAATTGCTGACATCAGTTCAGGGAATTCTCTAGTCTGGGTTATTCAAGAGATCACTCTGGTCCTATAGATACAAGTCTCCAGTAAGCAAGCATTTCTAGACGTGCTTAATGTTACATATATAATTGGACTGTGACCTGAGGGCCCAGTTACATAATACAAAGCAGATGAGGTGTGTGATCTGATGTTACTTGACGTGAGCCAAGCAGTGCCGACTGTTAACATTTCTCTACTGCAATGTAAAATTCATCCATTTAAAGGAAGATTATTTAAGCTACAGCATTTTATTATATTGTTGTTTCAAGCCAGGCGTATGCATGTGGTCTCTGGGATGTCTGTCACTGTATCTTTACTCACAAACTGTATGTTTGTGACAGAGTCCTTCTTTTAGTAACAGATTCTGGCTGTTCTCTTACAATGAGCTCTGAAAGCCTCAGATAGATATTTAAAATATTTTATTTCTTTAACCAATATGATTTAATTGGACATCTACGGTTTCTCATTCTCTCTCTGTTTTTGACTCTTTTTATCTGCTTTGAGCTTTTAGGAGGATACCAGGGTAGTGGGAAGGAGAGAAAGAACTTTGCCAATTCCTGTGACTTGAAGTTAATCCAGGGCAGCAGAACCCTTCCTATGCCTAAATTATTGGCATTGGGCTTTTCATAAGCTCTGAGTAGTGTGACATAAGGAACCATTTCCCATTATCAGTGCCAGCTCCCCTGCTAGCCCCTTAAGTCACTAAATAAATATTGTGATACGCTTGAAATTTGATTAAATCCATCTGACTTCTCAAGCATGGAACCAGCAAACCTTTAAAATGGTGAAATAGTCACTCTGACTGAATGCCAATGGTCCAGTGACAAACACTGTGCAAACAGCACGCTTTCCCCATCCTCCTGCTATTTTAGTGCCTTGGGCCAAGGCACCAAGGAAACCAGTAACATCAGCCTAATATGGCTGTATTTCATAATTAACATTCTGGTGATGGGATGTGCAGCAACAGTGAGACAGGAAGGTATAGTCTCTAGTTTGTCTCCTTTATGGCAACTGCATTACAGTTTCTGGTATTTTGCTTTGTGATTGTGCTGTAATCTGTTCAGGTGACCTGGCCTGCATGGGGAGAGGAAGAGCTCACTGCTGTGGCCAGCTCTGGACTCCTCCAGATTTTGAAAATTTGGCTGTTCTGTGAGTGGTGGATGGGCTTATGTGCATGTAAGCCTTCAGCAATCAAGATGCTTTCTTTATGACTAGTGTCAACAAATTCATATTACGTTTCTGTTTCTTTTCTTGAACAGTAGCAAAAATTGTCTTATATTATTCTAAAGCAAAACAGTGGATTTAATATCTGTCCATTTATGGATTCTATTAAATGCTCTGGTTGGTCAGAAATTCTTAGAATCCTACAGAAATGTTTGGAGATTTGTCTGTCTCCCTTCCCTCCCTCAGCACTAATTTATCCTGTTACCTGCACCTGCCTTCCCTACATTAACTGGATTTTTCCTCTGTTCTGTCCTATTATTCTACATGCACACTCTCCCTCTCTAGTTAAGAACTGAAAGGACAAGCAAGTTAAAGGTAACTGTCAAGTGAGTGTCACTGATTCAAGCACCTTGTTGCCTGTACTTCTGTTTGCTTTTTATTTTGAAGCATGTTTGCCTTGTGCTTTGGAGACATGGGAAGTAGTGTTTTTGGCATGAATGCTCCAGTTCTTAGGGTACAGAATAGGAACATTGCAGATGGAGTGCTTTTTTTTTTTTCAGGTAGTACAATGGATGTAATGATTCATTAGGATTGTATTGTGAGCCTGGTATTCATGAAGCATGCATCTCTGTATTGTCTTATGAAGAAGAAATGGCAAACTCTTAGGAAAACAAAGTTACTTTTTAAAGCTTTTTTTTTGTCTTTTAAAAGCACATTGACTACATTATATAGAATGTATTCACATTGTTTCACTTTGTAAACTGCTCCAGAAGTCCTATGATGTTTCTCTTCTTTGACTAACTGATTATTAAGATCACATCTATTGCTTACTGAAGGTGTTCTGATGATTATAAGCGACCTGATTATGGTCTGACGTACTGTCATGCTTGAGTGCTGGAAAGAAGGAAAGGAGCACTGCAGCTGGTGCTGAATGGTGGAGGAAGAAGTTAGATTCTAATAGAGGATCCAAAGACACAAAGAAACGGATGGATACAGTTGTTCTTTGATTAAGACAATCAGAAAAATGCTATGTTCCTAGCATGCGTGGACTGGGTTTTTTCAGAAGCAACTGCTTTTTTGGGCAGCTCAAACAGAAAGAACCAAAAATGTTGCTGCCTTTGCTAGGCATTTGAAATCATCAGTTATTTAAAAAAACACCATTATTAATATATGCAGTTCCTACCTTAAAAGCAAAAGGATGCCCTATAAAGGATAAATCTGCAGTTTAAACTGGAGTTCATAATAGCTAATTAACCCAATATCTCTGTTTTTCTTGTTTGTTTCTTTTTCTTCTTTCATGTTTCCAAGTAGATGTCAGCCATTTCTCGATGCAGAGGTCAGTCACTTCTTTATGCAGCCTAGAAACCATCACTGAAGAGCCTGTTATTGCAAATGAAAGCCATCATGCCAGCCTCTTCTTTCCTCTACCCATTACTCCTTACAGTGATTCTGAAGAAGGATCTATGTCTGATCATTCCAGTGAATCTCAAACAAAAGGGAGCAACCCATCAAACCGGCCTCCAGAACCTCTGCTCACTAGAGAACAAAGACCAAATTTGGCTGCAGAAGACCAGATGCAGACAGCCACAAAAGCAGCTGACATCAATGCCTTAGTCCAAGACAATGAGAGGACAAGCGTGGCAGGACTTCTCAAAGAAGAAAATGGTTGGACACAGGCATGCAGTGAAGCTGAAGATCAAGTTAATTTGGCAGCGCATCCTCAGAAAGCCTGGCTGGGGGTGGCAGAAGCTCAGAGTGCTGGCCAGCCTGTTGAAAACTGCCAGAAGCAGAAAGACCAAACAGGGCAGGTATTGAAAGACTTGAAAACCGCTGCTGTATTGAAAAGCCAAAAGCCTGGTGCAGCAGCTGTCCTGCAGCAAAACAATGTGATTAATGGCTCACATCCAACTTTGTCTCCAGATATTTTCCAGAAAGCCCAGGCTTCACAGGCTCTACCTGTTTCTCAGACGAGCTCTTACATGTTAATAAGGAAGTCAAAGAGTGAAGGGCTGAAAAAGTCAGACTCCTCAGCTGTAATAAAAAATCCAAGTAGCCTATCTCCAGCAGCAGAAGTATACTTTGATGCTACTGTTAATGACCGGATCTGGAGCAAGCTAGATTGCAGCAATCATCGTGACAGCATGTCTTCCTCTTCCAGCATGTCCTCCAATGACACTGTGATAGATCTCTCTCTACCTAATCTAGCTCGCAAAAGCCTTCCAGATCTTGGCATCCGGCATGAGAACTTTGAGCCCCTTACCATGAGAAGGGGTATTCGCCCACGGTCTGCTACAACGTCAGGTAATGAAATGCCAATAGTGAGCAAGAGTAAATCCAATCCTAACCTGAGGTCTGACCAGCTGCCAGCGGATGAATTATGCCCCCGTCCTCTTGCAAGGAGTCCTCAGGATGCATTCTCATCCATTCCTAGGAGGCATACCTGGAGCAGGCTGTACATAGAAAGTCTCAGGCAATCTTCTAACAAATCCAAAGCACAGGATAAGGTTGGGAATAACCAGGTGAAATCCAAGAGTCTTGGAGACCTTACCTCTGATGACATTGTGTGCACTTTTGAAAGCAAATATCGTAGCATCAGCAGGAGTTTTGTCACTCGATCAATGCGTGAGCAGCGCCGCTCTGCAGGTCTGAGAACCTCTGTCAGACCCCAGGATGAATTGACTGAGCAGCTGAAGAAGCTAACAGCCTTTCAGCAGGAAAATGATATCACTTCCCCCATCAGTCTGGATCCAACTGAATCTGAAGAGGAAGCGGAGAGCTTAGGACTCCTTCGCAGGTCATCATCTCGCAGTCAGAGCAGGGTGCGGTACATTGCCAACAGGGCCAAGCAAGCTCAGGAGAGACAGCGACTGCAAAGCCTGGGCCAGCTCAGTGGGAGTCCCATTGAAGAGAGAGGAAATCCAGAGGGGGCCTGCAGCGTTTCAAAAGCAGTCTGTATGGATATAGCTTCTCCTGCTGTGTTTACATCCCAGCCTAAGAACCAAACTGACTATAATACTGACACAGAAGTCTTCTTTATGCTGAAACTGTAATTCTAGAGGGCACTGAGTAAGGTGATGTTTACATTCAAGACAAAACATAGTGACCTGAGAGGCACAAAATATCCTTGTATGGCTTAGTGCTTCCTGGCCTTCCCTAGATGGCAAAGACACTTAAGATCCTGACTCCAGAAGAATAGATGAGTGTTCGACTTGTCACCCGTCTGTGGAATTCGATCAACCAAGTGAAATCAGAGACATATTTTTACAGTCTTAATGACCTGACCTCCTTTTTTTGTTACTTTTTTTCCAGCCTCAAATCTGGCCTCCTTTGCAGTGTGACCACTTCTTTGCACTTGCAACTTGCTCTGTGCAAAACTTTTGCTCCTTATTACTTTCATTAATTGCTTTGTCTAGCAGTTAAACGTCAGTGATGTTAGCAACAGCTAATGTTACTCTTATGAATTATGTATCTGTGAAAGGAGGCTGGATTTGAAATCACGTAGCTTGTTTTGGTGTTCTCATGAAGAGCTGGAGGCATCTGGGAAACGGTCAAAATTGCAGTGGAATTCTTTCCTTAATTAATAATATAGTAGATAAAGTCTTATTTCAATGAAAATCCATATTGTCGCACTCTTTGAAGAAAGAAAATCTGTTGCCATGTTCCAAAGGAATGCTTTTTTTTTTTTTTAAACCAAACTTGTTTTTATATATATATATAAAAAAGTATATATGTATGCCTCTGTGTGTATGCAGGTATGTGTCTGCTTGTATGTGTACACATGCACACACTTAGACTGAACTGTGACTGTTTCTTGTCTCAAAACATCATCTGTGGGAATGAGATGAGAAGGGAGAATTAGTCAAAAAAGGCAGGAAACGTCTTCTGACACTGATTCAGAAATGACTAAAAAGCACACTGATCTTTTCTTGAAAACAGAACCATCCCTTCTTTATGGTATTTTAACAATGCTGCTGTACATAGCACTTTTTTGGATGAATTTTACTACTTCTGTATTGCACTGCCATGCAAAATTTTCAATGATATGTTTTAAAATATATATATTTAATTTTTTTAGATGAACATATTTAGAGTTATATAGCAAGCTAAACAGAATAACCATTTCTCCTCCCCATTTTTTTAATGTTTTTTTTTTCCTCCATCCCATCTCCCCCCTCCAAAGTCATTTATTATAGATGTATTTTATCAGTGATGGAGAAGATTGTTTACTGAGATGCATTTTAAAGAGAAAGAGGTTTAATTTTATTTTCAAGCTGCATAGGGCCCCTATTATTGAGAAAATATTTTGCTTTTGTTTGTAATGATTCTTCTGTGTATATTGCAAAATCTAAAAATTTGTTTGTAAGACCACCTTGTTCTACTAAAATAAACATATTTAATCTTCCAGCTGTTGACTGTTTAGCTGTAACATAACACTTTTTTAATGCCGTTGTAACATTTCATTTTACTCTTTTTTCAGAACGATATCCAGTTCAGATCCTGCTCAAATTTTCTCTGGTGCACCAAAACATGTGCAAGTATTGGTAGACACTGGCATTCTGACGTGATACACAGCATGTGGATGATTTTGAACTGGTGTTGGCAGCCAGCAGGGACTGTTTGGATGAAAATTCTTGGGGGAGTCACGGAGTTTGTAGCCCAACACGTGCTGTCAAAGGACCTGATCTATTCTGAGACAGCCAAGGAAGTGAATGTCATAGAGAACAACACAAAGAGAAACTGATTTTCTCACGTAAGGTAGATAGACCTATTTCATCACTGAGGTTGTTTAAAATCTGACTGAAAATACTTATGCAAAAAATCTCTTCCTGTCCCAGCAAAGTGCACAGTGAAAATGTGCATTACTTTGTTCACTCCCTTACCTGGAAGGCTCTTCAGTTCACTTATGGATGTGAGGCTAGAAGGGAGTTCTTGGCATTTGGTCACAAATATTTCAACCCTGAGATATCAAAAGGTACAGCTAACTATGGGTGATGATTTCAGCATAACAAGGAAGTGGGGGCTGGGAGGAGTAAAATTCTCTGATGAAATATTTTTAAGTGATGCTTTGTCTGAACACGCTCCTGCAGTTTTCCATCCTAGCTCTGATCTTCATTACTTGTCTTCATAATTTGGATGAGAGGCCCTTGAGGTTTGTGCAACAAAGGTTTGGAATGTGCACTGAAGTAAATCTACAATATCTTTGCAGTCTCTGAAGGAAAAAAAAAAAAAAGGTAAATCATCAGCAGAATGTATGATCTGCCAAGATCAGTCCTGCTCTGTATCATAAAACAAAGTGAATTTCATTAACATTCTTTAGACAAGAAAGCCTGTAATGCTTCAGTTATGGGCCAAAGAGCTGCAGGGAGTTGCTGCTTTTTTTTATCTTTAAAGCAAGAAAGTAGATGCAAATTGACAGCTTCAGAAGGTTAATGTGTGAAAGGTCTCTTTCTTTTCAAAGACAAATCCACAATGCTTTTTTATCTTTTATTGATTAAGCAATACTTGTTAAATTAATGCACCTTGCAACACTTCAAAATCTCTCTCTTTTTCACACTTTTAAAAAGCAGCAATTGGCTTTAACTTACTAGGGTACATGTGAATTTTGTCCTCCTGTTTGCAGATCAGTGGTAACCGCCTTGCCAACTTGTTCTGTTGCACTGCACAGGACTATTAATGATGTGTTGTGTATTCATATGAATGGAATTTATTTTGTGGTACCTACACTGCTGAGCAGCAGGAATTTACTTTTGTTCTTCATCCTTTCTGCTTCAGAGTAATTTTGCTCTGAAGAATAATTACAAGTAATAATCTAGCCAATCAATGTATTCTATTTCCAATTTTTAGTGTTTGATTAACAGAGGGAAAAGATTGGTGCTGACTGGTATCACAGTTAGGTTTTTAAGTATCTTTTAGGTTTGGGAGAGGGCTTTTCTTGTCTTGCTCCCTACCCCCCCCACCCCCCAACAACAAACTCGAGAGCAGTAAGCAAAACTTAGATTCTGTTTGTTTGTTTTTTCCTACGTGAACTGGAGCAGTAGTGGAGATCTCAAAATCAAGCTGGCGAAAGAGAATTCAGAGAGAAAGGCAGCATATATAGGGAGCTTCAACTGATATGTGAAAGCATTTGCTTGGCTCTATCTCATCCAAAGCTGCAGGTAAGAATTCAGTGAAGTGTGCATAACAAGCACATAGCTCTCTTTAATGGGTTTTTAATGCTGATGTATTTGGTCCTCATAATCTTGCTTTGTAGGCAACAGTAATGATCGTAGCTCTTTCTAGGGAAGGCCCATTTTGTATCTGTTCCTGCTGGCATGTAGAGTAACAGCAGCCATCTTCCATCATCCTGAGTTCTCCCTGTGAGGTCACGGACTTGTCCCAAATGTTTTTCAGTTCATTAAAGTGTCAGTTTAGGAGTCCAGACAGTGCATGGTTGTCCTTGGTGTTTATGGTCTGTATTCCTCCAGCTTGGTGTTGAAGATCACTGATGATGAACATTTGATTGTATCTGTAAAAACTTATTTTGACAGTGCTGAGATGTTTACAGCTGCTTGTAGCTGAGCTTATTAGTGGCTTAGCCATCATTAGCTGCCAGCTGTGAAAAATCACATACCATAATGTGCATCTTGCTAAAGCCTAGAAGAGTATTCATGAGAAGCAGCTGAGAACCTTAAATCGTCTGATTTTTGTCAACCTCTCTCTAAGTGCAAGGCTCTGCCTGAGTCTCCAGAGTGTGGCTATCACATAAAGTGAAAAATAAATCGTGCTAATTACCAAAGCTAGTACCTGAAGTGAAGCTGTAAGCAGTTCAGAGCATCTGAGAGAAATCCGAGCTGATCTGCTGGTATCTTTTTGGTTTTGTCCTATAGAAAGAATGTGCTTATCTTTGATAGTGTAGCACCTTGCCATAATTCATGTTGTAAGAATGATGTGCACCATTTGGTCTGACGTGCAGTAAAAGTAATCTTGGAGCTCCCCTGCACTGCAGTGCACTGTGAGTCCCACCCTTCCACTTTGGCATCACCAAGTATGTTATTATAAGCATTTCAACAATTGAAATGTAAGCAAATTCTGACTGTTGAAGACCAGTTGACATTTAATGATTGATTAACTCAGTGGCATGAATAGAAAGGGCTTAGGGAGGAAGGTGCAAGCTGCCCGAGACGTTTCCATGATGGACAGAGCTTAAAGTCAAGTAAATGTGAAATAATTCTTTTCTTACTCAAGTGTGGGCATGTTCCAACTCCCCTGCAGGATGTGCTGTAATGATTTACTCTGCTGAATTCCTGTGAAAGCAATCCTTTGTAATTTCAGAGCCTTGATGCTGCGTTTATAAATGACCTGGCCCAATAGAGTCAGCCGTTTGGCAGGGTTGTATGTAGCTCACTTCTGAAGTGGAGATTGTAAGTGGAAGGATGAAGGGGTCAGGAATTTCATGTCTGTGTACACAGTTCTGTACAACCCAGAGTCTGTGGTTTACCTTGAAGCTCAGACCTTTCTTCAGCATTCTGGGATATGAGGAAATAGTACTGTATGTAACTGGTTTGCGAGGGTTCTGATGTTGTACCTGAATCTCCCAACCGATCTGAGAATCACAGCACGGAGAAAGCCTTCAGCTAGCAGCAGGAGTAGGCAGGGGAGGTGGGCACAGCTGAACAGGGCAAGGTTCTGCAGAAGGAAGGCTTTTACAGGACCGCACTGCAGGCCAGGCAGAGCTATTTGTACTTGCCGAGTCTCAGTGTAGTATCGAGCAGCCGGAATAACCTGCTTCCAAACTTCTTTTGCTGGGTGCTCCCTTCCTCTGTCCCAATGCAAGGTGCTCCGCAGCCTGCGCTGCCTGCTGGCACGTCCTTCCGCAGCAGCCCCGCGCCTGGCTCCTCCCGCTCTCCTTATAACGGCGTGGATGCAGCCAGCGTTCTGCTCCAGCACTTCATTTGCCTGCCCATCGACGTGCTGCTGCTGGGACCCAGTCAGACAGACCAAGCTAGGAGAGGCTGAAGGAATTGCTGTAAGTGAGATGCTGCCTTCAATCACTGCTGTGCTTGTAGCTGGCAAAGATTGGAGCTCGTGTGCAACAGGCTGTCACCTTTTTTGCTGATGGCTGTTCATCTTTTCTACTGCTCGGTTTAATTCTAATGTCTCCCTTCAGCACTGTGTGCAGAAGAGTGGCTGAGGGGTAATGTCCTTTTTTCTTCATATTTTGAAAGACTCAGAAATTTCTAGAGCCAATTCTAGCGAAGTAACATCATAAATCCTTACTTTGTTTTGCTGTAAAACTTGTTGTGGTACTTTGTTCAGTAGGTGGTGAAGGGGTGTTGCAGTGGTTCATTTAAGCAGCAGCTGAGCAGATCCTTACAGGTTGGAAGGCACTGAAGTCATCTGTCCTCCCATTATTCTCCCTGTAGGTGATTCCATTTATCCTTAAATTATCTTGGTACCAACACAGAGTTAAGGAAGTACATTTGCCTTTGCAAAAATGCTCATTTTGCACAAATGTATGCCTTTTTTTTTTTTTTTTTTTTTTTTAGACAGCCAGTGTGATAACAACTCTTTCATTTTTATTACCAGCTCAGAATAGCTTTTTTTTTTTTTTTAATCTTTGTAAAGATCATTTCATAGTTACATTCTCAATCATATTGAAAAAGTAGCAATAATTTACTGGTTAAATTTACCAGAAAACAAAACAGAACAGCTGTTCCTTGCTGGCTCAAGTGCATCATGCCTGCTTCTTTTTTCCTCTGCAACCCAAAAAAGGGAAATTTAACATTCTGCTTTTATGTCTCTGAAATGAGGACCTCCTGAAAAATCTCCTGGTTATCGATGCCTGCACACTGACCCTGCACCTGAGGAGACATTGCCTCTCCTCTGTAGGGAGCTGGCTGGGAAAGATACAGTGCAACAGGCAGTGGATACATCCACTTCATGTGTTCATCACATCATTTTTCAGCACTAAAGTGTTCCCTATGACCTGTTCTTTAATGTTTGTTCTATTTGGTCTCAGATGTGACCTTGTTTGAATTGGAACTCTTCAGAATTGAGATGCAGAAAATCCAAGATGTACTGATCTAACTCAGCACTGAGGAATCATAAAACCAGTATTAATGATTTTCCTTTAACTTCCACAGGAAGTTTTCTCTAAACGGTAACTATTTCTGCTGCAATGGACAAAGGACTTCACTTTATGTTCAGTGTGGTTACAGCTGTGCTGCTCCTGAGAGAATCAAGCCAGACAGGTGAGAATATTTGGCCAGCAATGCTAGCTGCATTGAAATCTGTTTTTCTTTCTTCGCATTTTTTTAATTCTTGTTAATAGCAGTGCTAGATTAGGACACCGTCTTTAAAACTTGCTTGAGATTTGGTTATGAAGACATTGCCAGGACCTACCTTAGGGCCAGCAGGAGCCTGCCAGTGACTTGTGCACAGCAGTCAGCTGGTTGGATCGCGCTGCATCCCCAGAGCTAGGAGCTGGGGCACTTGCTTTTGCAGCTGAAACAAATCCTGCTGTTTTAATCTTACTGCGGCTTTTTGGTGTTCTGTGTCTCAGTGGGAGACATAAGGAGTAGCTTGGCCTTGCAGCATTACTGGGAAACATAAATTGGCTCCTCTACTGGTTCTCCTACCCCTCTCACCTGCCTGTCCCCTACCTGACCAGAGCTGGTGGTAGCAGCAGGTTGCTTCAGGTTACGTATACATCAGTCTTTAGCTTTAGTGACAGTGGTCAGTTTCTCTGATACTCTTATCCTGAGTGTCCCAGTGTACTCCAGAACCATCATCCATCTGACCTCTTGGTTCAGCTATCCCGCATGGTCACAAGCTGCATAAAGGGAAATGTGGACAGAGGGTACCAAGGCAGGGTTACTAACCTAGGCAGAGGGGGGACAGAGTAGAAAAGTGGGGGTGAGGAGACCAGTCCTGTTTTATCTGTGCTGAATGCTTTTTGTTTTTGCTGTGGTTGCTGATTTTTGCAACCACGGTGGTTTCCTGCAGCAGCAAACCTTTGGGGGCAAGAGTGGAGGGATGAGACCCTTTGTGGTGTGCTGTTGTAAATTCTCACACTGAGGGCTTGGCCTCTGAGAAGTGTCACTCTGATGAACTTAGAGTTAGGGCTGCAACTCGATTTCTTATGGTCCTTTCAGCAGTTCCTACAATGGGGCTTTGAACAGCTGCATCCAGTGCCACTGTGGGGGAGCTGAAGCCCTCGGTACAGACTGTTTTCTTCCAAAAAACCCTAGCAGGTCTTCAAAAAAGGAGCCTCAAACAGCTTTCACTGGCTCTAATGAGTTTCTGAAGAGAGACAAGAAAACTCCTTTGTGAAGATTTCCAGCTCCCATGGAGAACTGTGGAGGACAGGGAAAAAGCAGGTTTTGTTTTAACAATAATGTGGAGTTCAGCACAAGAAAATGCAAATCCAAAGAATGAATAATACATAATGAATGAATACGTTGTTATATTTAATGAGAAACTCACAGTTTTGCTTGGAAGAGTAAAAGCACTCTAATTTCTTTGTTTTATCTTTTTTTTTTTTTTTTTTTTTTAAATTATTATTTAGTTTTGGCTTTTGCACTGTGAATTCTTTGATTCCAGGGAGCAATAATGTTGCACACTCTAGGAAAAAAAAAGAAACCATCCTGGGTAGTTAATATGCTATAAATCCACACAATTGTGTTTTTCATTCTGCATCTCAATTATTACAGTTTATATCTCTTGCAGATCTGGGGAGTTGAGGTATTCTGGGTGTTATGATAAAGGAAGCTGTGGATCAAATAATTCAACAGATTTTGTTAAGAGCTGCACATCGGAGCAAAGAGTAGAGCCAAAAGCTTAATTAATCTCATTAATAATACTTTTACGAGTGGATTTTTACTGAAGAGGAAACAGACAGAAGGAGGAGAGGTAATCCGGAACAGCAGATCAGTAGCAGATCTGGTGACACTCAGGTGTTCTGCAGTGAATTTTCACAGGAATGGAAAGTCAGAGCAGCTGTAATTCTCTGGGAGAAAGCAACTGAATGAGGAAGAGAAGGATTTCTGCCCCAATGGTTGTGAGATGGTCTCCTTTGTCTGCTTTTAACAATTAATAAATAACCTATCAAGAAACTCCTTTGTCTTGGAATTCAGTGCTGATGAACTTCAGGTTGTTTACAGGGCTTTTCCTTAGGGGTGCAGACGGGCTTTGGGAGGGGGGGTGGAAATCTGAGTCGTGTGGAGCAGCAGGACTGCTGGCTTTTCAACTCATCAGGAAGGGTGATTCTGCAAAATCTGTTTTTCAATGTGTGATTGATAATAATAATAAAGGCAGAATTAGAAACTTCTGCAGCCTGAATCTGTCTGTGTATGTTTCTGCCTCTGTTTGCTTGGCATTAATACTGTGTTGTGAATAAGGAAACAATCTTACAAAGTTACTACAAGTCAGCTGTACTGTGAACTTCTGAGTCCAAGGATGGTCATTCTGTTTATGTAAGTGAAATGAGTTCATGAAAGTTCACTTTTAAGGAACTGTAAGCATAAACCCTGCAAGGAGTTGATTTTGTTGTTATTTTTTCAGGAGCAATGAGGAATGATGATGCTATGATTAAGGTATGTTGAAGTTCATTGATGCAGGGTTACCAATAAAGTCATGTGTACAAAAGTTCTTGGATATTAAATCCAGAAATAGATGAGTTCACAGCCTGCAATGTGTTTAATTTGTGAAGACAGCTTTAGTAGCAAAAACATGAACTGTTCTGAAGTATTGGTGACCAGAAAGCATCTTCAGACTGTAAGGTTAAAAGATGCATTCTTGAATTTGGTGTTCCACGTGAAAGTGAATTCATGTTTTTGCTTCATCTCAAGTTTCCTGCTGTTTTGTCTCCAGGAATTGCTCTCTAATGAGGCCTTAATTGGCTGCTAGCTGTTTTGTCAGCAGCACAAATTGATCTCTCTTTGGCAGACTATATGCACTTTGTACCTGAAGAATTGTGACAGCATTTAACGTGATTTTCTTTATTTGTATGTTGACAACATGCCATAAAGTGAAATGCTTTTGATTGATTAATTACAGTCGTGGAACACGCACACATTATAACATAAACCCTTGGGGAATTTTAATTATTTTTCCTTAATTTTTTTATTGGTAGGCCAATGACTTGAGGGGACCAGAAGAGAACCTTCCAGCTTTGACTGTCACAACGATCTTGGTAAGGCAGTAACAAAGCCCTGTAGCTGGGAGATAGCTGGAGTTAATTCACAGCCAGTCACACTGCAGACTGTGGTGGCATGTAATTGTATTTCCCTGTTTATGCAGGAAGATCCTTATGTCATGGTGAGAAGTGCAGAACTGGAGGGGTACTGCATTGATTTGCTGAAAGCACTCGCTTCAATGCTTCACTTCAGCTATAAGGTGAAGGTGGTGGGAGATGGGAAGTATGGAGCCGTCTCTTCCAATGGGAACTGGACAGGAATGATTGGAGAGATTCTGAGACAGGTAACTTTCATTTTATATTTGAGAAACTGCAGCATTAACAAGGAAAGGAGCCCAGGAGCTGTGCCTACATGGCTGTTGGCCACGTAGGTATCTGTCCACTCAGCCTGGGAAGCATTCTGTTTTAGTGATACAAGACTTCAGGCAGGTTGGATGATTGGTTATATTTTAACTACTTCTTACAGGAAGCAGACATAGCAGTGGCACCCTTGACAGTCACATCAGCAAGGGAAGAGGTAATCTCCTTCACTACGCCATTCCTGCAGACTGGCATTGGAATCTTGCTTCGAAAGGACACCATCTCTCAGGAGATGTCTTTCTTCCACTTCCTGGCTCCTTTCAGTAAGGAGACCTGGACTGGCCTCCTATTTGCTTATGTGCTGACGTGTGTCTGCCTCTTCCTTGTTGCCAGGTACGGATGTGTTTTACAGTTTTTGCTCAACTGCTTTCCCAGCTATGGAGAGATTTTTATTTTTAAGAAAGTACCAGGGTACATTTTGCTTTGAGAAACTTTCTGTACAAATCCAGAAGCTGAGCTAATAAAGCTTAATGGCAGATGAAGAGTAGGAACTCCCAATGAAAATCACCGTATCTCTTGATGTGGATTTTCCACTGTTGTCAGAAGGACTGTGTGTTTGTGTTTCAGCTTTTTTGTTCTCACTTTTTTTCAAAGTTGTTTTTCCCTCTGACCGTATTCCTTGGCACAGTCCTTTCTCCCAGAGTGTTTTCATGCACTCAATCCTACACTGAATTTTGTGGATGAATTTCTTTCCCCTCCCTCCTTTCCCAGGACATTCAATTTTCTCCTCCTCTCTTCATGAGGCTGCACTAACGCTCTCTGCATTTGCAATTTTGAACAAAAGTTCTATTACTGCTTTTCCTGTTTTATGCCCAGTCCTGAGCCTTGCAAATACTTGAGGTGTTGACCAGGAGCATTTTTGTCTACTAGATAAACTGGGCTACAAGTAAAGGAGGACCTCTGATGGAAAGATAGGGCATTTCCAGGCTGTCTGCACTGCTGCACATCATGCTGCAGGATTGCTTTTTCCTTTAGTGTCTGGTGTCATCCTGTTATTTCCTCATAGGCTGAGCCCTTATGAATGGAATGAGCCAAAGAATGAAGAGAATCACTTCACCTTTTTAAACAGCCTCTGGTTTGGAGCAGGAGCGCTCACGTTGCAAGGTGAGCTGGGAGGAGCTGATTGCATATCCAGTACATATGTGCATATGTACAGTGTATGCCCAGTGCATATAGAGAGCTGTACTGTAGGGTTGGGTGCTGAGGGAAAGGATGATAAATAGGGACTCTTGGCAGTGCTAAAACAGAGATGTCTTGATTAGGGACTTGTGCAGGTGCTGGCTTCATGTGAGCACTGCATGTTTTCTGCTGTAACTCTTGCTCCAGGACTAACCAGTGCACTTATGTTTTGTGGAGTCTTTTTTTTTTTTTTTTGGCCAGTATATTGCTTTGGCTCTGCACAGCATGCAGCACTGATGCTATTCAAACCAGCCACTGAGGGCTTTTTAGGCCCGTGTGTGCCTAAAACAGCTGCAAAGCAGCTTTCGAAGGTTGGCATGTTTAAAAAGTCTTGTGCTGGCTTTGTCTCAGGCTGTCTCTCTCACCACCCGTACTTTCTGTCGGCTCCATTGGGCTCGCAGGTGTCACCCCTCGGCCCAAGGCGTTCTCTGTGCGGGTCATCGCTGCCATCTGGTGGCTCTTCACCATAGCTTTGCTGGCTGCTTACATCGCCAACTTCACCGCGCTCTTGAGCTCTGGCAGCGAGCAGCTCCCGATCCAGACTTTTGAAGATCTTGTGAAGCAAAGGAAGCTCGAGTTTGGGACACTGGATGGCTCCTCCACTTTCTACTTCTTTAAGGTGCAGAAAATTTAATTGTGCACGTACATGCCTGCCTTAGAAGTGCTAAAGTGCAGTCAAGCTGTCTGCACATTGGGTCTTACAGCACCTTCTTCTCTGTAGACTGGGTCAGTTCTCTTGTACTTTAATGTGATTGGTATATGTTGTTTTCTTATCTCTTCTTTCACCTTTTCTCTGAGAAAGAAGCATGCAGAAGATTTTGTGTTAATAGTGTATCCTCTCTTAAGATAGTGGTACTAGTCTTCAGGGGTTATTCTTGTGTAGCTTGAACATAAAGTGCTAGAAAGATGGTAATTTTAACTAGAGGGCTGAAAGGTAAATAGTTTTAAGCACTCTTATTCTCTAAATATTTTCACAGTCACTGCACATAGGCAAATATTTTTCTGGGTAATTGTTTCACACGTCACTTTATTGCAGAACTCCAAGAATCCCATCCATCAGATGATCTATGAATATATGGACAAGAAACGAGACCACGTTTTAGTCAAAACCTACCAGGAAGCAGTTCAACGTGTGATGGAATCCAATTATGCCTTCATTGGTGAATCCATCTCTCAAGACCTTGCAGCCGCCAGGCACTGCAATTTGATCAGAGCCCCTGAAGTTATTGGAGCCAGAGGATTTGGCATTGCCACTGCCCAGGGTTAGTCACTGTGTATGACTTCTGTCCCACTTCTCCACTTGGATTTTGTGGGTTTGAAATAGTTTGTTAGAGCAAAGAGCCTGGAATAGCTAAATCCTGAAACTCAGAGGCTTTTTTCTATGTATCAAGTGTTCTATGTACTAATAATCCACTATGAACAAATAAACCCAGTTATCCAATATTTTCATTCAGTAAATGAATTATCACTAGTGCTCACTCTTATTTTGAACAGCAGCTTTTAAAAATTCCCACTGCTAATGATACCAGGTTTGTTTTTTTTTTCCTGTTTTTTCCTCCTGCTCTGTGGTACCAAGAATGCAGAACTCTTAATCAAATTTGTTCTCTTGTAAGCATGACTGATAGTATTTTTCAAAGACTTCAAACTGTCATTATTCTGTGAGTGGATAGGATAGGAATGGTTGTTATCTGGTTATCCAAGAAAGCACTCAGATTATTTTGCTGCACTGTGCAGAAAGACCGTTTGAAAGCTGGGAAGCAGCGCCCAGCTAACCCTGCTTTGTCATGTAGTAGCAGGCTGATTAAAAATGCTAGTGGCTGTGACCTCTCTTACATGCTTTTCTCTTTCATTCTGCTGCCAGCATCCCCGTGGACTAAGAAGCTGTCAGTTGCTGTCCTCAAACTGCGCGAATCGGGTGATCTTGACTATTTGCGTAACAAATGGTGGGAGTCCAGCTGCCTTCACCAAAGCAGAGACAGATGGAGCCCCCTGCAGCCCCAGGCTCTGGGTGGGCTCTTTCTTACTCTTGCAATTGGCCTTGCATTAGGAGTGATTGCAGCTATGGTGGAGCTGTCAAATAAGAGCAGACATGCTGCTGGACATGTCAAGGTGAGTGACTGTCGTCATCTCTGTCTTCCTCTTGGGCTCCCTTCTGTTTAGCGTGGGCATTAGTGCTCCACTGGGCGGAATGCTGGCTTTCTGACCATGGCAATCTTGTTTGTCTGAGGAGAGAAATGTAATGGGGAAAACACATGCTATGTGTTTACTCTTTAAAATCCTTGCTATGTTGTTGCTTGGGCTATGTGACAGTTATGTAGCCTAAGCAATATAAAAATTTTAAAAACCTTAAAATATTTACTGTAATGCAGACAGACTGCATTCCAATACTCCCATGTGTACAGAGGACAGTAAATCATCAATAACAAGTTTATTCTCAAGTATGGCTATTCTCAAGTCATTTGACAAGCAGGAAAACACGTAAATAAAACTGCACTAGAATTTGAATGTGTATTTTGGTGTTCTTGTTCTCCCATCCACTGCAATGAAAGTCTAGTGAACATTTAAAAGCTGGATTCTACAATACAGAGAAACTTATCCCCTTTTTTTTTTCCCCCTCTTCTTTTCCAGAAATCTTGTTGCTCCATTTTCACAGAAGAAATGTGCACTCGTCTACGTATAAAAGAAAATACAAGACAAACCCAGGAGACTTCAGGGAGGGCTAATGCTTAACAAAAATTCTTAAGGAATGGGCATATATTGTGGTTCTACCATCTATATGTCATAGGAGCTACATCACTGTAGGAAGATATTTTTCTGCAAGAGTAGAGTGTTAGTTTCCTAATTACAAACACAGTACTTCTGGATTGATGGTGGAGCTGGTTATAGAAAACCAAGCAGCTTGGAAGAATTTAAATTGATAAGAGGGAGAGTGCAACTGCTAAAATTGAGGGAGGTTAAGATGGGTGATCACATCTATATTTAATTTAGAAGTTTACCATGTAAGTGCAGAAATGCCTGCAGGAGTAAGTGACTTGGGATAGGTTAATATGAAGCCTCTGCATACTAATTATAGAATGAGGTGCAATCTTGAAAATTAAAGCTTTTATCTGACTCTTCTAATCAAGAATAACTGCTTAAGATTTTAATTTTAAATAGAATGTATTTTTGCCTCCTTCTAGGCAAATGATAGTGATCAGTGTGAAAGTAATTTCTGAATCAGAAAGGACATTACTGATGCATCCATCCCAATAATGCAGGATTTAACTGTATTCTACACAAAGGCCTAAAATCTGAGAAAGGGAAGCCTTACAGTTAAGGAACTAGATTTAAGAAAAGTCTGTTTTCCATCAGAAGATATGTTTCCTTGTTTAGCTACAGAGGACAGTTTGTCTAGTTAACTTGACTAGGAACTATTTAGGAATAAGATTCATACTTTAAATCCAAGAGCAATAGAACATGAACACTGGCAAACAAAATCAATTAAAGTAGAAATTCAGTAGGCAAGGGTGAGTAATGGGCATTTTTTGTTATTTTCTTGCTGTCAGAGTAGAATCTTTGAAGTTATGGGGAACGGTTACTTTGGTTACATATTAAATAGTTTTCTAATTAAGTTGTTTTTCATTTCAGAGGTGGAATGGCTGATGCACGCACAGGCAGTTTTGCAAATTCAGGGTTAAATAACTGCATTTACGTACTGCGCAGCTGATGGAGCAGGGCACAAATTCAGTTCCTTAGAAGTGGTTTTAACTGCACTGCATGAACACAGAGACTAATTCCTCTCTGTTCCAGCATTAAATAACAGAAATTAACATGTCTGTGACAGGGATAGAGCTGGTTGTTCCTGAATAAAGTGTTCAGATTCACTCTGAATGCAATGCAGACTTAAACTTCTGATTACTGCTAAGTAATTTAGTATGGATGCAGCCTGCCTCTCCTCCTCCTCAGCTTGTTAATAACAGTGGAAGCAGTAGGAGTTAAGAGTTCTTTAACTGTTGGTAGTGCTGTTCAGTTATCTACTGTGTGCTCTCACATTGTGACAGTTCTGTTTTAAATGCAGCTGACATAAAGTTCGTTAGATTAGGAGGTGGATCAGTCCCTCGACCAAATTAACTGCAAAGAGCATGAGACTGTTTAGGTAAGTTTAAAAGCTGACATGGAAAAATACAATGTCAGGTTGACTTAGCACTTTAAAAACTATTTGGTATGTGCCATGTCACTGCTGGCAGAGTAGGCAGAGATGTATAAAAAAAGTTTCATTGACATTTAAATATATTTCTATATGAATGTCTCACAGAACAAAAAAATAAAGTCTTTTCATCACAAATACTGAATCATTAAAATAAACACTTACCAAAATAAACAATGAGTGATATACATATATATATTTGAGTGTGTATACTATAGAGTGAATCATATTGTTGCTTTTTAAGTCACAAAAGCACAATATAAATATGGAATTTCCTGTGACCTCTTTTCCCTGTTGTAATAAAAATACATTCTTTACAGTTAAAGTAAAACTAGTGCAAGTCCATTCTGCTGCTCCTGTTCACCCAGCTGACCAGATCTGTATCATTTACGTGGCACTTCATACTTGAAAATGACGCTGAATATTTTCCCTCCAAGGCGATCGGCAAGCCAGGAGTTTTTGATAACAGCAAGCTTGAGGCTCTCACACTTCAAAGCCGCGTAGTAATTGGTGTGGATGGCACGACCCATGCCTTCAATGATAACCAAGTCTGTCTTCCGTTCTCTGACCAGCACAGCCAGACCTTTATCCAGGCGGCTGAAATGAGAGGTATGGTTAGAAATAGTCATCCTTGCACTACAGCTGAAAAAGCCGATGTTCTGAGGGTCCTGTCACTTCTAGGAAACGTGGCAGGGTATGGAATTACTGATGCCAATAAACAGTAACACCTTAATCAAAGTAAATGGGATATATAAAAATATAGTTTTAAAAGCTTCATTAAGTGTGTGCAGAATTGGGATTTGTGACAAAACACGGGTTAAGTTCTGTGTCCAAGAGAGAACAGCAGTTAAAAACAGGTAACATGAAGTGCTGCTTACAGTCACGTGGATTATTGACGACATGTAATTGCTGAACAGCAAAATGACAAACAAGCTGTAGAGCAACTAGTAAGGCTTCATCAGCATTACAAGATTGTAATGCAGACAAACTCGGTCATTTTTGTGAAGGGTGGCTAAGGTATTTCAGCACACAAACAAAGGCTCAGGTCATCCTTCATTTGACAAATGACAAACTTGCCATTATACCTCAGATCTAGACAAGGAGAACTTGAACCCGTCTGGACCAACAGCAGCTTCTCTTCCTTCAGTGCAGATCTTTAATTGAAAATAGAAACAAACAAAAAGTTACAGTCATGTAAATATGGTAATGAGCCAGAAAGAATATCTGAGTATTCTTTGCAAAGGCTTCTTTTCCTGCTAGGAAATCACCCAGAAACACGCTTCCATGAGCAGCAGGTTATCTTAGTCAGCTACCTGTCCTCTACAGGAAACAGGCTGGAAATAGCATATATTTCCCTCAAATTTTTTTTTAACAAATAAAATACACTATTTTAGTAGTTTGAGTCCTTATCAGGGATGATACTGACAAGAAGCTGATATGTATACTGTTAAATATAATTAAGAACTGCTTTCTAAATTTTTTGCCATAATTGAAGCGAGTCATCGTTTGTACCTTACTTCTAGTTGCAGATTTCAGATAGTAATAAACACAAATAAGGAACTCCATATGTAACCAGGAACTTGCTTCTTCCTTCTGTGCTTTTTAAGATACGTTATGAAGACTGTTTATATGCTTACTGAATAACTGGATCCATTGCTGCTATCCGTTCAGCAACGATCAGGGATTCGCTGTAGGTGACATCATTTAGAGCAGGGCCAGAGTTACAAGCCAATATAACCTAAGGCAAAGATGTCAAAACAGTTTATTGATGAACACAGTCCATATACGGTGTTAGAGCTGCCTGTTTGTTTGAAGACTGCCTTTCTCTGGCTTATATAAGAACAGAATCAAGAAAAGAGAAAGCCTGAAGGCCTGGTCCTTATTTTCTCCTCAAACTAGCCAACTCCTCCAGGTGTTCTGACATTACAGATCCTCCATTAGAAAGCTTAGCTCTGATCTAACCCCTGCTCTGCTTTCCAGTATACTTAGTTAAACCTCAGACTTCCAGGAATTTAGGGACAAGCTCACTGTCTCAAGTTAGATCACTCCCTCTTTAGGTGCTATGAGCTGGTCTCATACAGTGCACTGCCAGAAGGTATTTAACAAACCTTTCACCAGTTACAAAAGCTCCATTATGTACTGCCTGTACAATGAAAAACCACTTACCTCTGTTCCTCTAGAAAGAAGCTCTCTAACAAAAGGAAAGACGCCTAAAATTATGTCTATTCCACTGTTATCTGCGAAAATTAAGGCACATTTATGAGGGGGACCCTCCTGCAAGAGAAAACCAATGCATTTAGGATTGAGTTCACAGTTCATTTCACAGACTAGTTTGTATTATTTAGAAACACCAGTTTTAAGACCCAAGATTTTATAGCCCTATATTTATCTAGATCTATTCGATGAGCATAGCTCATCAAAACTTTACCTACCCTTATTTTAAGTGAAATCAGTTTCTCTAACGCTGTCTTTGCACAATTAATTAAAACTGTTTACAGCCACTTCACTTGACAGCACTTTTTCAAACTCCATTAATTAAACCTATAACAGCCAATTAAACACGTCTGACTCCAGCAACTGTGAACATGAGCTTCCTTCAGAGGGGTGGTTAGGCTTTGAATCACGTTTTGTTATGCCATGCAGCTGGAGAATACCATTCTCTAGAATACAAGCAGCAGCATGGATAGCTGCCTATGTGGTTTTAGGGTAAACCTACCTTTGTGGCTGTTACAAGCTAGCATGCTGTAGGGTAAACAGGATTCCCTTCTCCAGGAAAGGGGAGGATGGACTGCTGGGGGCAGTGACATCCTAAAATAAAAAGACATTTCCTATTCTCCATTAACCTTTAATTTGTCCTAGATCTGATGTTATGAAATGCAGTTCACTCCAAGTTGCACCAGCAGAAGAACTTCTGCAGTGAATACTGTGTAATTTTTAAGAACAGTTTGTCAGGATGCTGCTTTTTAGCAGTGTTGTGGAGGAATAACTGACACTTTTGTTTTAAGATATAATATCTAATGATTTGTAGCAAATTCTGTCCATCGTTTCCAAACCTGATGAAATAGCAGCAGACATCCCACAGAGGGAAAAAAAACCACAACAAAACACGTTGCCGATTACTTTCAGAAAGCTCCACATTATTGTCATTTTTAGCCTGGCTACTCAGATGAAGGGACAATCCAAACATTACATTTGGATTCAATTTTTCAAAATTACAGGTCTAGTTAAATAGAAATAAGTGCCCTGATAAAGAAAGGACACCACAGTTATGCTGGAAGAGCTTTGAAAGCAGCTGGATTCCAAATGCTGCAGTTCCTGAAGAAAGCAAGCCAAGAAGCTTGGTAAGTAACAAAATGTCTGTTTTATTTCTATATGGTATGATTGCTGGAACTATTAGTGCTGCACTAACAGAATTTGTTTTGAGCTGTCTGAACAGGGCTGTGTTAAATGTTAGAAACAAGCTTAATAGGGTTGTTCCATGAGTAATGTATTCAGTTACTCAGTGATCAGTGGTAATTCTGGACTCGTACCTTCAGCCGCTCTAGCCACTGACTGTAGGAATCTTCTAACCAGGGACGTTCTGTGTCACAGACAAAACTGTATTAGCATCACTTTTAGGCAAAGAGTAAATCTGTACATTATGCAAAGCAGGAGGTGTCTCTTTAAAGATATGGAATATTTGAACTCAGATTTTGAATGTTAAGGAGTTCCTGAACTCTTAATTATTGGAAGTTCAACTACAGTGGCCTTGGAATAGAATTCTTCTGATAGCAATAGAGTCATATGAGCTAGCTCTCATAATGGCTTGTTCTGAGATGGCTGGTGCTGCTGTTCCTTGGGACATTGCTAAGACAGGACTGGAACCATTACAGGAAACAGCACAGGCTATTCACGATATGCTGAGTATTGGGGCAGCAGAGAGGTTTTTGGTTTCCACTTTGTTTGGAACACAAAAAGCAACATTCCACTGAGACTGTATTTCAGATAAACTGGCGAGTGCTACTGAGTCCTTGTCACAAGCAGAACTGCCATCTTAAATACCATCACACTCTTCTTTACTCTCTTATTAACACAATATCCAGATCTAACCAACACTACAGATCTCCCCCCTATACCTTGCAGTTTTGACTTGGCTTCTTCAAATCCAAATTGTGGCTCACATTCCAGAACACTGTATCAGAAGAGAAATAAAGGGTACGCAGTTAAGTAACTTCAGCTCACTCAATTTGAATACTTGTATAGCAGGCTGTTGGCAATTTTATTGCAGGATTATAATTGGGAGTATGGACAGGTCCAGTGACTGAAAAATAGATCCACCCTTAAAAACAAAAGGCTTGCATGTACATTAAATTAGGGAGTTAAATTAGAGATCAGCAAGCACTACTCTATGGGGGAAAAAAAAAAACAACAAACCTTTGGATCTGCAGATGACAATAAATACAGTAATGATCTAAACTATCATAGCCATAAAACAACACTTCACAAAGTTAAATCTGGAGATCTGTCTACAACATTTTGAGTTGTATTTGTGTGTAGGCAGGAAAAAAAAAGAAATTAACTAAATACAGGTTTTAAAAGCCATTCCTATTGGCTGCATGTATAGAAAAGTAGCTTCAAACTTAGCTGGTGATGAGGATGTACATAATGAGGCTAGATTCTAAGCTGCCAGTTAAAATATTACTCCACATGGGCAGTGCTTGCCAGTCAAGTCTCATAAAGTGCCTTCAGTCCAGTACCAAGTGATGTTTAACTCTTAGCTTCTTCCTCGAACAGAGGGAGAGCTGCACTTAGACAAGTGGCAACCAGACTAATTGCTGTGACTGGGGTCAGTTCAAGTTTCTGCAGTTGTGGGCAGCATTAGAACGCAGATCCAAGTAGCCTCAAATCACCTTGTTTTGAATTGATTTGCATTTTTTTTGTTATTTACTCATGAGGGGAAAACTCCTCAAAGATGCAGAAAGGGAAAGGAAGTGCTGAATGTTTGCTGCAAAACTGTGCCCACCTCCCCTACTCTTTATTATCAACCCCACAGAAAGAGGTAAAATCTAGAAGTACAAAAACAAAGATATTTCAAAACTGACAGCATTTACATCCTTTTCTGAATTTATGGCTGCTGACAGGATATATGGAAAGAGAGCTCTCAAAATGGCAGTAGAAGTGTATGCTGATCGAAAACAACTGGTATTTAGTTATTTTAAGAGACCACCAACCTGGCTTACAGCCCATTGAATATACACTCTGATATCAGAGCAACTGTGGGTTACAGAGAGAGCACATTTTCTACTATAGGAAGATAATATCAGCTTAAATAGAACACATACTCAAAAGCAGAGGTAGTAACAGCTACAAACAAAGAGCCAGACTGCGATATTAGGTGGTCTGTCATTTAATTCAAACATTCAGTGATGTCTGCCAGATTTTAAGGGTGGAAACAAACTTTGCTGCACCGCAATAATGCTTGCAAATGAACAACCAACATATGATTAAGGTTAAATACAAACTACAATGAGATTGGTGCATTTCATTTACTTATTTCTACAACAAAAACAAAAAACCAACAGTTGGATATTCTATATCTTAAAAGGGTGCTTTTAAAATATTTAACACCTACTCTGAGACTGCTTTTGCTCCCCAGTCAAAGACATTCCCCGCAAGAAGTCCTTTCACCAGAGCAAACTGCCTCTCCTCCCAGCCTAATGAATCCAAAGATTCGATTACGCTTTGAAAACATTTTAAGGCTATGCCATTTTCTTTCTGCTTTACCTGTAAGAAAGACATGAAACATCGCATTTACGGACAAAAAATCCTTACCCATCATTGGCTGTCTCAGTCCCAAGACCGCGTTCAAGCATTCTCCTCTACGTTCATGGCCTCTAATGGACCAACAAGTTACTGTTATCAGCATGCTTAGTACCAACAAGAAAAAAGTTCCCTGGGATTCTAATAAACAGCTTTATTAGTGCTAGCATGTGTTCTGTAGCCTGAGAATTACTTGTCTTAATACAGGAGAGGTAAGGTAGACCTTGGGCAGACGGGGAGTGGGAGAATGGACACAAAAAAGAGAGACTTAAGTAGCAACATCAAAACCAGGTAACCTGGGTGAGAAGGCTTACCACTAGCAGTTCTGCAAAAGATGGGAAAGTGTGGGTTGTTCTAATTTTTGCATCAAAAAGTTCATCATCCTACATGCTTAAAGACTCTTGACCCCTCTTCTATCGCCAATGAGCTCAAATGTTACATAGCTAGTTCTTTTTTATAAAAAAAGGTACTGAGTGCCACCTTTACATCAAGATCTTTTGTTGGCACTATCTTATCTGAATTACAAAAAAGGAAAAAAAGAAAAAAAAGCAATCAATAACTGTCCTGAAAACAGCAACAACCAACCAGTTAAACTGTTAATGTCTTGTATGTAAGCCATTACTTATACAAAGCATTCGAGTACAGAACAGTGTCTTGATCTCACACTGCCTGCCCTGTAAAGCAAGAACAGCTTACCTTCGAGTAAGGATCCGGAAAATTGAACTCGTTTAAACAGTGTTCCCTTGTATCCAAAAGACTTCTAACTGTTAAGGTGCCATATGCACTTTAAAAAGGAGAGGGGAAAACAGATCAATTACTTCAAACAGAAAAAAAAAAAAAAAGTAATTTTCTCCTGTTTTTCCATTAATAGGATGAATTCCAGACAGGTACAGCATGTAAGACAAACACCTCAGAAGTCTTCACATGCCACAAGTGCTGAATACTGCCACTAAGTGGTACATCTATTAAACGGATTATTTAAATACAGAGAGGGAAAATGTTCAGAGTAAAGATGTCAGGTACCATTTTTAGTAATTTGAAGACCTTTAGTCATTTTTGTGCTGAGATAGATGGAATTTTTCTGTTAAATTCTAATGTTTTGTTCAGAGGACCCGACACATCAATTTGTTACTGCCTTCAGCCTACCTAGCTTTAAGCTTGCTCTGCTTAAGAACAAAAGCATTTATGTAGCTTTCAGTTAATTTATAGTTGGCTTCTAATTTGCTCTGCTCAGCAGAGGTGGCCAGATTACAAAAGCAGGGAAACAAGGACACTTACAAAGGCTGCTGTCTGAGTGTCTGGAGCTTATTCCAGTACTTCTGTCGGAACTTTTCGGCTCTCTCAGGTGCATCAGCAGAATCTGGCTGGCTGGCTGCAGCACGCTTTGCTACCTGGTAGAGAAATGAGGCACTGGAGTTACCACTTCAATTCTTCCTTCTGTGCAACTGACCTGAAGCTCGGGATGAACAGCAACCCCTCCATCTGCTCTATTTTTCTGCTCCTGCACACTCACTTGTCCCTCCCACACAGTATACTCCAGCTTTCCATTAAGCCAACCACCAAAGAGTAATTTTAAACACCTCTTTCCTTCCTAAACATTTAAAGTTGGTTTGTTTTTTTTTTGTTATTACTGCTTTTTGGTTTTTGAACACTGTGCTTTCAGAGGTGAGCCACAAGTTCCACCTATTTAGAGAAGGGTAAAAACAAACAAGAAAAAAGGATAAGGGTGCGGGTGCACATCAACACTCAGTGTTCATTCTTTCTCTATGACAGTAAGGTCAGGTCAATGTGTTCTCCTAGTGTTTTTCTCAGCCCCCAACTCAACACTTGTGAAGTTTCTGATTCATATTTTCAATTAAGAGACAGAGAAGAGGTACTTATTTGCAATAGGTTTGACATACAGGTGCACTTTGTTGGTTGAACAGCTTGGTCCACCTGAAGTATGTGGACCATTTGTAGGTACAACTCCTCTGATATTTACCCCATCCAACGCCTCCTCAAAACAAGTGAGCCAGTATTTTCTGGCCATGGCATCATCTGTGAGGTCAACAGTGTCTGGAATATAGGTTGATGGGTCCTTCAGCAGTGGCAGGTTAACCAGCGGTCTCTCCAACCTATCCATTTCAAACATGTCAAACTAGGTGAAAAACAAAAGATTTATTAGAATTTACTCAGAAATTGATTCACTAGAAATTAAACAAGCACAAGGCCTACAGAAGCCCATTCTCAGACAACTCAGGATTGCAGACAACTGCACGTTAGTATATGCAGCCATTAACAAGACATTCTATTGAATCTGTCAGATTCAAAATTCTCAAGTACAGTATTTCAACTGTAGCAAAGCCAAGCTACCTCAAAGAAAGGGCAGCAGCAGCAGCAGGCTGTCTCTCTCCTTTAGTGATGCTGAGCAAGACAAAGTAGCAGGCACAGTCTTTTAAGAAATATCATGTCAAACCATCACACGTGACTTAAGGCACCACTGTCAGCCACTTTTGGTAAAGCAGCACGGTCCCAGGGGTGAGAAGCAACTAGATTTTAAAATAGCCATCTAAGTTCAGATCAGTAAGTGCCAACACTCATTTTAGGAAAGGCAACCACATACTGTACCACTCCGGGTCCTCTGCATGGGGTAGACATCAGGTGATGTGCTCATAAGACCAGAACTCCCAGCATAATTCTCTCCCCAGCTATATTGATTTGGATCTAGAAAAGAGAAAGAGAGAGACACATAATCTGAAAATAAAACTGAAAGTACTCACATGAATGAGTCTACAGCCAGCATCTCTACAGAGAAGCTGTTCCACTGCAAAAGCCATTTCTCTTTGTCTTTAAAAATATATTTATTTCTTCCCCTCTAAGTCCCAACAGTTATATTTTAACTACTTGCTGAATCATCCAACTCTAAAGTACTTCAAATGAGACACAAGATTACAATTCAAAAAGCATTTTTTTCTTAACCCCTTTCTTTTCCTAATCATTAAGAGCTATTGAAGAAATCCTGTTCTTTAAGCACTATAGATGGCTAAAGCTTCTATTATTAGAGAGTTGGGGTTTTTTTGTTTGTTTGTTTTTAAATGTCCATCATTAACAGAATAGATTGCAGAACTCTCAGAGCACACTGTAAGCTTCACATGAGCACAGAAGTTACTTTCAGATTTTTTTCTTTAGAGTTTCTGGAAGTTGAGACGTTCGCCATATGGCCAACAGAACAACAGCTTTCACACCTGGGCAGCTCTGAGCTGAGTTCCTTGCTGTTATCTATGGAGTGGTACAAAATGGCTTCCACTGTTCTGAGATATACGTGATATTTACTAAAGCTGAGAACCATAACAACCTGTGATTTGTTCCACTACGATGAATGCACTGAATGGCACGTAGCACAAAGAGAAAACAAGAAAATACAAATGGCAGAATTCAACCAAAGCATCCTACACCCAGAGGATGCTCGAAAGAATTGTCTCATTCTTTATAAACATTTATGAGGCTTTTCACTCTCAAATGAACACAGTTTTGAGATGCTGTTCTTCTTCAGTACATTAACTGAATTCAAAAGCTGGCCTCTTTAAGAGGAAGAAAGTTCTCAAACTCAATTTCCCTGATTTGATTTAGAGGCATGACTGCAGAAATGCAGAAAAGAGAAGAGCCAAATCCTGCTGGATTCTCAGAGGCAAGCAGGAAAACAGTGAGAAATTATCACACCCTTGCCAAAATATATAAAGCAAAGCCCAGCATCTGTGTTTATTAGTGCCAAATGTGTTTATCTAGGCAACAACTTACATGCAGCCTCTTAAGAGAAACTTGGACATTACACTGACATTTCAGAACACAGCATATACAGAACATAGCAATGCTGTACTTACTGTCTTGTTCAGCTCCTTTTAAAAATGCCCCAATGGCTCCCAGGTAGCCTTCATGTCTCAGGAACAATGCCTGAACCTCTCCCTGCCACAATATGAAACATTGCAATTGGATGGTCCCTGATGGCTAACATTACTTCTTTGTCACTAGATTTACACTTAAATTTAATAGAAACAACTAGAAGATGATAATATTCATTTGCACTACACTCTAACACATTCAGTAACTTTAATGGTGCACCAAAAAATGGTGTTTCTGAAAGACAGCTTGAGGAGGAACGGCTAACATACATCATTCCACAATTCTAAGACAGCTGGAAAAAAATTACATGCAGAAGTGGTGTGTATTCTAAGCCTGCACAACCACAGAAGCAGAGGGAAGCCAGTGCTTCACTAGAAAAGACTGCTGCATTATTCCATGAGTACTCAACTCCTCTTGCTTGAACAGGCTGAAAATGTAAGACCATCTGATTTCCAGGTCATCAACATGAACGTGTCACTGTGCATCCACCACACCCACACCACTGGTTATTCTATTTCATACTGAACATGCAGCAACATACAGTCACCCTGTATATTATCACAGACAAGCACTTTCCCCATGAATTTAACCCAGTTTACGTGTTAACAAGAACGGTAGGGAGAACAGGATCATCCCCCACCTAACACCCTTAGTTTTCTTATGGTGAGACGTTGTCCCCTCTGAAGGAAAATAAGCTCTGTCTACAGCAGGTCATGTAGGAAAAGTTAACACTGGGCTTAGCTGTAGTGAGGAAATACGTAATTCACAGTGAGATTCTGTACAGATAAAACTGTGCTTACAAGAATCTAAAGCTGTAGTTTTCTTGAAACTCAACCGAGTTCTTACCCTAACTTGCAGAAAGACTGCAAGGTTAAACAAGGGGAAATACAAGCATTTTATAGGAGTCTCTTGCCTGAAGCACTGAGGAAAAAAAAAAGTCATCAATTCTGTAATACTTCAGTATGCAGTGTGATGGTGGAGGAACTGATCCACCTGTAACGAGCAGTATGTGAACTTCTGGATTAGACCATTGTTCCACTGAAATATCTTTAGTGTTTGCCACAGCTTCAAAAGCTGCAAAGAATTACAGCTTGCTTCCTTTTTCAAAAGGAATTTAAATATATATACATATCAACCAACCAAAAATTACTGATGCTAGTTGCTAACTATCTCAGCAGAGCAATCCAACATTGCATAGCCTGGGGGTGAAAAGAAATAGGTGAAGTCAGCAAGAGGAATTGAATAATAATGGTAGCTATCTAAACAAATATAAGAGCCCAATCCTTG